ATCCTCATTTTCTATAATAAAGTTATTATTAAATGATTTTAGCCAACTTTGTTTTGTATTGATGGAAATTTTTCTGTCATATACAGTATTTATTTGTTTTAAAAAATGTGTAGATTTTAAGTTAACAATATCTGCCTCTTTTTCCATTTCACTTGTTAAATTTTTTATTATAGATATATGATCTCTAAATGTTTTTAATTCCTAAAAATATTAATACAAATAATTAAAAAATATTTTTACAATTATTATTTTCTCAAATTCTTCAATAATTCTAGTGTTTATAGAAATAATATTAGATACATTGTCAATTTTAAATTTTTTCTTTGATATTTCATCATTTTTGAGTTCTTTTTGGGATATTATTTTAAATAATTCTTTAATTTTGGTATCTGAATATGAATGTGATAAAATTTGTGATATTTTCAATAATGGGTCCATAAATTATTTTTTAATTTCTTATACTAATATGGAAGTTTTGTAGCTCATGAACTATTTCTTGTGTTCTTTATTGTAGAATTTTATTTTATTAAAATGAATTGTTGAAATATTTGTGTAATCGTTTAGATTTTTACGAAAAGTTGGTTTTAAATGATTAATTAGATATTTGTTTTAATATTAAATATTTAATAAAATAGTTGAATATTTATAGCAATAACATGTTTTCATATTTATATATAGATTAATGTATGAATCTTTGAGCAATTAGAATAAGAAAATATTATCTATAAATTTAAGTAAATACCATATTAAGAAATAAAATATAAGGATTATGATATTGTAATTCATAGTATTTGAAATCATTTAATTTTAAAAATATGATAAATATTGGTATTAATATTTAAGAATGTGATAATTAAATAAATAAGTTTTACTTATAATTGAATATGAAAAAATATTTAGTTCTAAGGGAATATTTTATTTCTAAAGTATTTTGGAAATATGTTTAGAAATTATATATTTATATTTTATTTCTTTAAGGATTATATTTAAAAATTAAGTATATATGTATTATATGAAAACCAAAATATAGAGTAATATTTTATCTAAATTTTAGGATTTAATAAATTGTATTTTGAATTCATTTTATTATTATATTTTTTGCTATGTACTTTTATAATTGGATATTTTATGTTTTTGAATTATGTATTTACTTTGAGATTACTTTTAGTGATTGGATAAATCAAATGGTTGTATTTCATACAATTAAAGTAAATGGTTTTTAATTATATAAATCTTCTAAATTTTAATTTTTTTGTTATGGTTTCTTGGGTCTGTTTTTGAATTATAGAATTTAATAAATTTTCAAATATTGTGTTATGAAATTATATGCCTCATTTTTAGTTTAGAGTTTGAGTTTAAAATAAATTTGACTAATTCTGAATCTAAAACATCATTTTATAATAAATATAAATGTGCGTTAATATATTTAAGATTTAAACGACTTTATTAATAGTTTCAACGTAAATGGATAATTATAAAATTATTGAATTAATATTATAAAAATAGGGAATTAATTGCTTAATTATTTTTAAATATTATATTACAACTGTTTCCTAATTAAAACAGTATAAAGTTTTATTACTGAGAATGTAAAATAGCCGTATCAGGAATTATAGGTTTAAGATCTATATTATTTTTTTCTACAAATGATTTCAAACTTTCATATGAGACTATAAATTTATTCTGAGAGGAATTCCAGTTTTCAAGTATATTTAATGTTTTTAATGCATATATGACGTCCTTTGGTCTAGAAATAAATTAGAAAAATACAATTATAAAAAGTAATCGACCTTATTGCTGTTTTTTCACAAATTTCTCGAATTGAAAAATTATGTGACTTATCAGTTGTATTTCGTAATAAGAATGTAACGATTGAGCGAGTCCAGTATGATAAATAACTAATAAAGCCAAGATTAGAAAGAGGCTTTTCTGGTGATCCCCATTTTCCTTCTGCTTTTGAGAGTTCATATGATAAAGCGATTAAAATTTTTCCATAACCATGTCTCTGATATGGAGGGAATATTAATATACATGCAAGGTTATATTCATCCCAAGAAAGTTTCTCTTTAGAGAAAAAACCGACTGTTTCTTCCATATTCTTATTTGTTCTTGTAAGAACATAAAACAAAAAATTTTCTACATCAAAACATATTGATTTATTTTCAAGAAAAAGCTTTGCAAATAAAGAAAGACATTGACAAGTTAACTATTCTTTGTTATATGAAATAAAGATCTAATAAATGATATACCTTATGTTGTTTTCCGTCTAATTCTTTGATTTTTAATGACGCATTTTTGAAAATAACCTTTCCTTGTGATCTCAGTGAAAAGCAAATTACCTAATATATAATTTTAGTGTATTATATTAAAACTTAGTAATATTACTTCATGATTAGCTATTAAGAATCCATTAGTGGAATACTTAAAGCATTTATTGCAAACATAAAGTAAATGTGACTTCAAATCTCCTGAACTACTAGGATATGGTGAGTTAAACCATGTTTTTATTTGATATTCGCCTAGAATAACATAGTCTATGTTGTTTTTTGAGTTCTAATAGAAATTTAAAACAATAACTAGATAAATTTCAAATACTTACACTATTAGAATGTAACTTTGTATTCGTATATTTTTTTTTAATATAATGCTTCTTTGATTCTTTAATATCTGATTTATCTTTTATTAGCATAAATTTAGTTTTTGTTCGTGTATATTCTTAGTCTATTCATTAGTCTTTAAATTCCCTAACTATAAGAATGTTTTTTGAATAGATAAATATATTAAATATTAATTTCAGAGTAAATTTTAACCGATATTTTTAATTTTTAGAAATTTTTAAGATCGTAGACATTTTTTTATTTTTTGGATGTAAATTTTGAAACAGATTTATTAATGTTTTTAAGCAGCTTAAACTGTTAATAAACTTGTCCGTTTTTATAGTGTGGTAAACTATAATCGATAGGCTCCATTAATAATTTAGGGAAATAATATATAAATAATTTGTATATTTTATAAAAAATCATTATTTCACGGAGTTATGCAATATGCATAATAAATAACATATAAACATTTATTGTATGTTAATTATTATTATAATGGATATATGAACTATTTTACAAAATCTACTTCTTCTGTAAACTCATCTTCATCTATAAATTTAAGAAAGTCATGCTGTAATGCTTTTTCTGCTGAAAATCGTTCTAAAGGATTTAGTTGAAGACATTGCTCAAGAAAGTCTATAGCTAGTTCTTCTTGCCATGTCAGAGGAATATTATAATTTGTTGAAAAATTAGTAGACCAACGTATTAATTTTTGAAATGTTATTCTTTTTTCATTTAAAGTAGAAATATTGGTATCAAATAGACAATCTATAAAGGTAAAAATTAAGTAAATTGTTGCTTTAAACACGTACTATGAAGTTCTGCACATTTACGCATTTCATTTTTGCCAAATATACATGTTATTTCAGTTAGTGCATCGACATCATCAGAGGAATTAAAAAAGGGAAATCTTCGAGTAAGGAAAGAAAGAAGTATGACACCAGCTGCCCATATATCAATTTCTTTATGTAATAAGTAAATAAATTATAGTTTATTAAAGTTATTACTTGTTGATTGTGCCATGCATTTAAACAATACTTCTGGCGCACGAAACCCTCTTGTTCCTGCTCGATTTGCTCTTTTGCTTGGTCTAAAGGAATTAGTGATTATATTAAGTGTCATTTTTACCTTGGATCATTTTTAAGATATCCTGGTTGTTCTTCAATCTCGTTTAGAATTGTTGTAGATAATAACATTTTCTTATTTTTGAATCGTTCGTATTTGTTCTTATTAGAACATAAACAAGATGTTTCATCATAGTTTTCCCTCTAGAAATGTTTTTAAATATTTAGATTTTTAATTTGAGTAATAAAACCTCAGCAAGACCAAAATCTACTAGTACTCCTGTTCTTCTTCTTACATCATATAAAAAATTGCTATTATATTCTTAATTTATAAATAAAAATTTAAGTTATGAACCTTGGTTTTATATCTCTATGGATAATGCCGTTTTTGTGAACATGATAAAGTGCTTGAAAAAGTTTTTTAAAGTAAAATCGTATATCTTCTAGAGAAAGAGTACGATAATAATCCTAGCATTATTTTAGAAAGTTAATAATATAAAAAATTATATCTACCCTGAAATCTATGTGTTTAAAATATGGTAAAACTATAATAATTTGATCTTTCATTCTCATTGCAGTTATAATTGGAACAATTGAATCATTTCCTCTATTGAATTTTAACTTTATTAAAAAAACGCATGAATATATACTTTAAATCTTTCAGAATTTTTAATTCGTTTATTATTCTTGCCGGACTACTTGTTACATAAATTTTTTTTAATGCGACGTATTTTTTTTTATAGTTATCATATTTTGAAAGTATTTTTCGTCTTTTTAATAGTGGAGTATTCCATGAAAATGTTTTTTGTTCTTTATATTGCCATTCATTAATGTATTCATTATAATTACAATCTTCAGCCATGTACACACTGCTAAATGTTCCTTTATATATACGTGAGGATTATACTAAACGTATTTATATTATAATTACCTTCACCAATTTTATTAATTAATTTATAATGTTTTCGAAGATGATGAAATGTTTCATAGAGATTTTTTATTTCATTGCGGACATTTTCTGAAATTTTTTCTAACTCTTCACAATAATCATCTTCTTTGCTATTATAAGATGATTTTGAGGATTGGTAATCACTCGTATGGTCTTCTAATGATTGTATTTCTGTAACATCATCATCTTCTTTATCTTCATCTTCTTCTTCATCCATATCTTCTTTTTGACTATTATTTAAATTTTCAGGAAATAAACTATTTTCGTGTATGACTGATCCCGATTCATCTTCTTTTGTTAATTTTTTTTTTGTTTCCTTATTATTTTTAATTTCCATTTTATTTTAGATTTTAAAAGGACGTTCGTTTATCATAACATTGTAAAAACTTAAATTTTTGAAAAAATATATTTATGAAATTTTAATATAAGGTATATAATTTTATAATACATAATTTCCTACAATTGAATTGATATAAGATATGATATTTGATTTAAAAGAATTCTTTACTGCTTATCTTGATGACCCTGAAAATTTTCTTTTAGATGATAATATTGAAGATGTTTCTAAAGATGTCAATTCTGCTATAGATAGTAAGTTTATGGTTTTTTTTATTTATATTTATATTTTTAGATATTATTGATGCAATATCAGTATCTTTAGAAATAATTTTAGAGGAAGAATATATGAAAAGTTTATTTGCGATATTAAGGCTTGGAATGAATGAATTATTAGCTTAGCTAATTTTTTAGGACATTTGAACACGTTCCATCTGGTTCTTCTAATAAATTTGTAGATCTTATTATTTCAAGTTTGAATTTCTTTTGTTTGTTTATTTTATAATTTTGGAAGGTCTTCAGCAAGTTACCGAATCTCTATCAAGAGACATCTTGGAAAATGAAATAGATATCCAAGACCAAAGAAAAAATATATTAGAAATTCTCGGATTTTCTCTTTATTGGCTTGTTTCTATTATAGAAAGAACCACTTCAAATGTTTCTCATTCTCAAAATTTTTCTCGTGGCACTAAGTCTTCTAAATTTAATAAAAAGAATCAGAAACAAGAGAGTTTGGATTTTAATTATTTTTTCCATAATTCGCTAGATGTTATGTGTAAAATTCTTGGTCTCAGATTAAGTAAATTATGGGTTACAATTCCCGAAAGAGATATATTTGTTAGGTAACTTCACAATTTTTAGAAATAACTATTTATATTTATTTAAATAGTCTTTTTATTCGATCAGCATATTTAATATTTGAAAATGAACAGCTGATGAAAATTTCTTCAGTTAAAATGAGGGTTTTTAAGTTATTATGTATTGCAGTGAAACACCAAGGTCATGCTTTTGGTAGGTCTAAATTAATTTAATGTTTATACTTTTATATTATTAGGGGCTCAAACTTCACTCATTCAGGGTTTACAGTATTACGAGCACTTGCCAGAGCCTGTTGCTGAATTTTTACAGATTCTTTCTGAACAATATGATTATCCTCAATTATTAGATGAAATATTGCGGTAATTTTTTTAATCAAGAAATAATTTCTTATTTTTTTTAGTGAATTAAGTGTTAAAGAATTTAATAGTAATGATAATAAAGGGCCTAAATCTATTTCTTTATTTTTAGTAAAACTTTCAGATATGATGCCAAGAAATGTCTTAAAACAAATGACTATGATAATTAAATTTTTGGATAGTGATGTATAGAATTTATATTTATTGTTAGGAGTTGATATTTATAGTCTTATACTTTACGATGTGGAATAATTGAAGTTTGTGGAAATTTAATTTCGGGTTTACTTCAATTAGAACAGTCAGATGATCATAAAGGACAGATAGATCGTTTTTTTGATATATTAGAAGAGAGATTTTTGGATGTTAATCCTTATTGCCGGAGTAAAGTAATTCAAGTTTATTTAAAACTTTGCGAGTATATTGTTTTTCAGTTTGACTAATGCATTTAACTTTCTAGTTTAAATAATAAATTTCCAAAGCGTCGACAAATTGTTACTGATTTATGTGTACGTAGTCTTCAAGATAAGAGTAGTAATGTTCGAAAAAATGCAATTAGGCTTTTATCTAAATTGATATCTACACATCCATTTTCTCTGATGCATGGTGGGCAACTTTTTAAAAAATTATGGTATGATCGTCTAGAAGCTGTAGAAAAACAACTAGATCTTCTTAAACCACTTGTTGAATCACCAGGCTTGGTCAAGAAAAAATCGTTGGATGATGATAAAATACTTGAAGATTTTGAGAATGCTAATTTAGATGATGAAAAAATTATATATAAAGAGTCTTTTTTAGGAATATCTTTGGAAAATGTAAAAGATAATTCTGATTCTAATATTTCTTTTGATAACTTTATGAAATTACATTTTACTAGAAGATATTATTGCGAAGCATTAAAATTTATAGAAAGTTTACATACGGGTTCTGTACTTGTTAATCAATTATTAGCTTCTAAAAACAAAAGTGAGGTTCTTGAAGCAATGGAATTTTATGTTGTTGCAGATGCATATAAATTAGAAATAGCTAAAGTAAATAAAATGTTATTATTTATTATATGTTAATTACTATAGAGTGGAATTCGTAAAATGTTACATCTCATATGGACTAAAAGTACAAGCGATGAAGGAAAAGCTGTCCAGGCTAAACTTATTGAATGTTACAGAGGGCTTTTTTTTGATCCTCCTGATGGTCTTAATGCTAATGAAGCTGCAAATTATATTGCACGAAATATGATTAGTCTTACATACGGTGCAACGTTAGCCGAGCTTACATCGTTGGAACAGCTTTTATGTGTAATGATGAGAGAAGGTTATATATCTGATAATGTAATTAAGAAACTTTGGAGTGTTTATGGAGCTCAAAAAGAAAATGTTTTAAAACAGCAGAGACAAGGCGCAATAATTGTTCTTGGTATGCTTGGATTAGCAGATAGTGATGTTATAGCTTCTGGATTAGAATGTTTATTACATGTTGGTTTTGGCAATTACGGAAAAAATGATTTGTTTCTTGCTCGTTATTCATGTATTGCACTGCAAAGGTTAAAACAAGTAAATGGGAACTCGAAAAGTATGATTATATATATTTATATATAATGTTATCTAATTTAGTAAGACTCTTCTGACTATTTTCAAGCAAGGCTTGTAGACGAGCATATTATTTTTTCAAAACTTGGAAATATTATTTTATCGCCAACTGAAAATGTAGAATGGTATATAATGTAAACAATTTTTGTTATTTTAGTTAATATTCTTTAGGTTTAGTGTTGCCGAACAAGCCATTAATGCTATTTATTTACTTGCACAATATCCTGATAAAATTTGCACTAATTTATTGCGCTCTAAATGCAAAAGTGTGTTTAAAAGTTTTTCTGCGAAGAAAATAAGTTTAGATGATGATTCTTTATCGATAAAATCTTCATCATTGCTTTCTCAATTGTTATTTATTGTGGGGCATGTAGCATGTGTGTCTTTAAATTATTTTTTATAGAATTTTGACAAAATATAGTAAAACAAATTGTTTATATTGAATCTTGTGAAAATGAATTTAAAAAAAAAAAATCAGATAATCAAAAAGGTTTTTTTTATTCTTTTATATCATCAGGCTCATATAATATTAGTTGTAGATTTTCAATCTCATTCTTTGAAAACATCTAGTGCTACTAGTAGTAATGAATTAGATTTTGTTGTTGGAACTATTGAGGATGATTTATCGGAAGCTATGAATTATATAAGGTTGAATTATTTGTTTTTTTGTACTGCTTTTTGATTTGTTTTCTATAGGGAATATGAGCTTCTATATGGGAATAACTCTTTACTAGCCAGATTTGGCCCTTTAGTGCAAGAAATATGCATTAACAGTCATTTATATAAGGTTGTATCTTTTAGTTTATTTTTGATTTTATTGATTTCTATAGGATTCATGTTTACAGTCAACAGCAGCGTTAACCTTAGCTAAGATGATGTGTGTTTCAGGTATTAAATATATGATAAATATTTATATGATTAATTTTTTAGCTCGGTTTTGTGAGTTGAATCTTCCTTTGCTTTTTAATATTTTAGAAAAATCACCTGACCCATTGATACGTAGTAACTTACTTATTGCTCTTGGTGATATGGTTTCTATATTTAAAATTCATGTGATTTTTAATAACTTATGTTAGAATGTTTGTTTTAACCATCTTATAAATGAAAATACAGAATTTTTATATAGACGTTTAAAAGATAATGATTCTTCTGTTAAGAAAACATGTTTAATGACTTTAACATTTCTTATTCTTGCTGGACAAGTAAAAGTTAAAGGGCAACTTGGGAAAATGGCTAGATGTTTAGAAGATAATGACCGTCGTATTGTAGATTTTGCTAAAATGTTTTTTACTGAACTATCTACAAAAGATAATTCTATTTACAATAATTTTTTAGATATTTTTAGCTCACTTTCAAATGATTCTGAATCTTTAGATGAAGCTAGTTTTAAGCGTATTATTCGTTTTTTGATTTCATTTATAGAAAAGGTATATTTTTTTTTGGTAGTATATTTTTTTATATTGGAATAGGAAAAACATGCAAAGCAATTGGCTGAGAAGCTTGTAGTAAGATTATCAAAATGTGATACGGAAAGAAAATGGAATGATACGGTTTTTGCAATTTCTCTTCTCCCTCATAAAAATGATGCGATTCATAAAATAATAACAGATGGCTATTGCCATGATATTGGTATAAAACAACCTATTTATTGAATATTTTAGAAATTATATGATTAATTAATATGGATTGAATTGATTTGAATCTATACTAAAATATATATTGTTAGTATAAAATCCTGATTTCATTTCTCGTTGCATTTATAATTTTTTATTTTATTCTTAGAAACGCTATGTTTATTTTTTGAATTATATATTTTGATGGTATGGGTAATATATGGGCTCTTTCAATTTTAGAATGAATCTTTGAAGTATTAGCATGTCGTTATTAACAATATTTAAAGTTTATACCTGTATGCATCTGATGTATTTAAATAATATTTATGTAGTCTTTTGTCTCTTATAAATCCGAAATTTTCATATAATATTATTGCTTCTTTATTAGTTACTTCTGTTTCCAAAATCACCTATTTTTGATAAGTAAAAATATTTGTTTTGTAATTTAATTACTTCATCTGTATTTTTCTCTTTCATTATTGATAATACTTTTTCAACCATTTTACTAGCTAAAAAATTAGAATAATTAATTAATTAATTAAATTCACCTATTCCTTTTCTTCTATATTCTTTTTTAACAGCTATCATAGCAATATAACCGCGAAGGCATTTCTTATGATTTTCGAGTTTGCAAATGATAGTTCCAACAATTATATCCTTTTCTTTTGCCTAATAATAGTTAAGAATTAATGGCAAAACTTTTTTTTTTTTCCAAAAGACATAATTCCGGCCTACAATTTCAGTTTATAAAGAGAAATTAAAGATTTTTTTTCTACCATTGATGTATAAAATATCGAAATACATATATTGAGTAAGGTTCACTTAAATCATGAGTTATAAGATTTATTATGCTTGGTAATTGAGATTCGTCTTTGTAATTTTCAATTTCAATTTTCATTTTATTTGAATTTTTAAATTTTAAAATAATTTAACATTTAAATGAGATTCGTTTGAATTTTGAAATGTAACTTTTAGAAAATATTTATTTTTCTTTTTAAAGAAATATTTAGATACATGTCCAATAAAGATAAAGAAGTAAAAGTGAATTTAGAATCTTCTGTTAAATCTCGTTCTGGTTTTTTAAGAAATAGACTATCAAAAATAACGCATGTAAAAAATAGTTTACCTATTAAACAAAAAAATATATTTAAAGATAGTGATTTCAAGAGACATTTAGTACAGTACAGGAGAGTTGTCTTTGTTTTTGGTATAATTGTTGGTGCTGTTATAACTGGAATATTTATTAAGCGGTCAAATATTGTTGATTTTGATTGGGATTTTCTCCTAGGTTTTACTGATATTGGGGATTTCATGGAAGAGCTGCGCAATATTATACCTGCTTCTGTATTTGATGATGCTAAAAAATTATCATATTATGACAAGGATTCTGATTATGAGGCTTTTTTTGTCGGAAATCGTTTACGAGAACAAGGATATAAGCCACACTTCAAGTATTCTTTTAGCTTTTTTTTTTGTTTAATAGTTTTTAGTGTTATTATAGTTCCTGGTGTTATATCTACAGGTTTAGAAAGTTGGTCTACGTCCAATTGTTCGTATGTATTTTAATTTTAAATATTTTTATATTATATTATGTTAATATAAGGAGTTTGCCTTATTTTAGAAAGCGTTTATGGGTACAAAATTTGACTTTTTTTTAAATTTTATTATTATATATAGGGAAGTTGGACTATGCTTCGTGCTATGTTAATGGATAAAAAATGTTGGGTGAGCCAATTAATGCTCAATGAGACTACAGGTCTTGATCCAGAGGGTGTAAAGCTTCGTGCTGCACAAGGATTAAGTGCTGGTAATACTCATGTATTTATTCGTTATATCTTAACCGTTTAAAAGCCGATTTTTTTGTAACAGGTATAAATTTTTTATTATTTTATAATGCTTTATTGTTTTTCTAGGTTATTGGATATGGAATAAGGTTGTTTTCAATATATATGATATGTTTTCTAAAATCATTTAAAGATTATTGAAAATCTTTCTGCTATTGGCTATGATCCTAATAATATGTTTAGTGCAGCATATGATTGGAGGTTATCTTTTTTAAATCTTGAGGAAAGAGGTATTTTTGTATATTTTTTTATGAATAATTTTTTATATATGTTTTTAAGATCATTATTTTACCAAGTTGAAGGTAAAGAAATTATCATTTTTAATTTAGTATATTCATAGTTTCAGGCTTCTATTGAAATTGCAAAAGCTACATCTGGAAAAAAATCGGTTATAATATCGCATTCCATGGGTAGTCAATTGACATTGTGGTTTTTAAAATGGGTAGAAGCAGATGGATATGGTAATGGTGGGAAATCATGGGTTAATGATCATATTGAAGCATTTATAAATGTTTGTTTTATAATTTTTTTTTCTAATTTAACATTATTTCAGATTTCAGGGTCACTTTTAGGTACACCTAAAGCGGTGACTGCTTTACTTTCTGGTGAAGTAAAAGATACTACACAACTAAATGCAGTTTCTGTTTATGGGTATTATTTGTTTTGAAAAATTATATATTAGTAAATTTATAGATTGGAACGTTTTTTTTCCAAGTTTGAGGTATATTTTTTATATGTTAATTATGCTATTAATTTTATGAAAGAGAGTACAGCTTTTAAGAAGTCTTCCTGGTATGTTATTAATTTGTCTTAAGTAGTTAAATCTAAATTGCTTTAGGTATTGCTTCAATGCTTCCAAAGGGTGAAAATGTTATATGGGGAAATGCAACATGGGTATTAATAAAATTAAAAAGAAAGAAACAAATAAACATAATTAGGCGCCTGATGATTTATATATACCGAATATTCATAATCTTTCTTTTGGTTCTTTTATTAATTTTCGAAAAAATTCTAAGACATCTATTTTAAGAAATTTAACAATGTCTGATTCAATGGATTATTTGATAAGTCAGACATCCCATAGTTTTCATAAGGTTTTTTTGGAATATTTATTGAATAATCTATTGAGCTTTGGAAGATGTTAAGTACAAATTATTCACATGGTATTTCGTGGACAGAAAAGAGTGTTGAGATGAATAATAATCGACCTGAGAAATGGGTTAATCCTTTAGAAGTATTTTATATGAATCTTTTTCATGTTTAACACGAATAAGGTGAGTCTTCCAAATGCACCTGATATGAAAATATATTGTTTTTATGGAATGCTATAGTCAAATATTTTTTATTTTTTTTAATTATTTTTTTAGGTATTGGCAAACCTACTGAAAGAGCTTATTGGTATGACGTGGGTCCAAAAGATAGTAATTTATCAAGGGATTCTGCTAAAGTCGATTTATGTGATTGTATAAATAATGTATTTTATATTTTAATTTATATGGTTTATGTAATGCTTATTTAGACTATGGGAATATTTTCTGATCCTGATATTTTTGGCCAAACACCATTTATTGATAACACAGTTAATATTAAGCCATATACGGTAAATTGATATTGTTGCTATATCTTACTTAAAATTGTAGGAAAAGGTTTTTTTTTTAATAATTATGAAGAATTAATGGTATAAGATTTAGGGTGTAGTAATGGGTGAAGGCGATGGTATAGCTTTTATTTTAAATCCTATTTTTTTAAGTAATCAAGGTACCGTTAATATTTTGAGCACTGGTTTTATGTGTGTTAAAGGTGGTATAATATTTGTTGATTATAGTTATTTATTATTTTATAGGTTGGAAGCAACATCGATGTAATTAAATTATATTATATAGATTATTTTGATATGCGTAGATAACCCAGCGAATATATCAATTATTGTGCATGAGATGCTTCATCAGCCTGATCGACATGGTCTTCGTGGAGGATCTAAAACTGCTGATCATGTTCGTATTTTAAACATTATTATCATTAATTAATGTTATTAGGTTGATATTCTTGGGAGATCTGAATTGAATGTGAGTGTTTTATCATTTATGTTTTTTTAATGATATTTTAGGAATTAATACTTCGTATAGTTTCTGGTAATGGAGATACGTTATTGAAAAATAAAATATTATCAAATATAATGTAAGTTTTTTTTTTTTATTATAATATTTTTATTTTTAGGCATTATTCTGACCAAATAAATATTGATAATAAAGATTAATATTTACTTTTACTATTTTATACTTTTGAGTATTTATATGATAAATTTAATAAACTACTTGATAATAGATATAATAATATATGATCATAAGATTAATAGGTTATAATTTATGGTTTATGTATACTATTTTACATATTACTTTATAGTAAAAGTCTTCTAGGATCTTCTATAAATTCCTTAATTAGATGCAAAAATGTAACAGATTCACGTCCATCTACAATACGATGATCATATGTTAAAGCAAGATACCTAATTATTTGAATAAGTAATGAAATTACTTAAAAATAATCCTACATTATAGGGCGAATAACTATTTGACCATTTACTACTACAGGTCTATCTTTAATAGCATGTAGACCTAGAATAGCTGTCTGTGGAAGATTTATAATAGGTGTACCTATATTATATTAGTGTTTTATTTTTTCCAAAAAAAGTATTACTTAGCATTGATCCGAAAACCCCTCCATTAGATATTGTAAAAGTTCCCCCCGTCATATCTTCTAAAGCAAGCTTGTTGTTACGAGCCTACATATTTAAATGTTATGTCTGAAAAAATAGAAAATGAACCTTTGAAGACAATTCTGATATTGTTTTCTCAATTTCAAGAAAATTTAAAGTCTCCGCATTACGAATTACAGGTGTAACTAATCCTTTGGGAGTAGCTACAGCTACGCTAATATCTACATAGTTTCGATAAATGATTGTATCTCCTCCATTTGGCCCAGTTATGGATGAATTTATGACAGGAATTTCTTTTAATGCAGCAACAGATGCCTTGACAAAAGCACTCATAAATCCTAATTTTATCCCTGTTTTTTTAAGAATCTCTTCTTTGTAGAGAGACCTCATCTCAATCACACTTGACATGTCAACTTCATTAAAAGTTGTTAAAAAAGCTGTGGCATTTTGAGATTCTTTTAATCGAGAAGCAATACGTAACCTCATTCGATTCATTTTTACCTTTATAAATGTTTAAAAAAATATTACATATTATAATATACTCACTGAATATTCTTGTCTATTGCTAAATACTTTAGATACATTAGATAAATCAATTTTAGAATTTTCAGAAATAGGTATAGTTTGACTAAGATTTTCTGTTTCGTTTTTTCTTTTATTTGTTATATTCCTTTTAGAATCAATTTCCGAAGAAATATTGCTTTTATTTGATTGAGATGATTTTGATTCTTCAATAATTTCTTTACTTTTTGTGTTTTCAAAAAGTTTAGAATCTACCGTATCTATAAAAATAAGTAGTAGCATTGATATGAAATTTTAAGTTATATAACTTACTTTTTGGTGGTTCATTACTTAATTCAATAATACAGATGTCTTGGCCTGTTTGTACAATATCCTCTTCATGTTTTAAGGTTTCTTTTAAAATTCCTGAAACAGGTGCATTAATTGAAACATCAATCTAAAAAAATATAGCTATTCTTAACTATCCCTATATGGTCATACTTTGTCTGTTTCTATTGTTGCAATTTCTTCATCTTGCTTTACAAAATCCCCAATTTCTAATAAAAAGTTAAATATTTCTAAAGAGCTTAATTTTTTTAGATTACTTTTATTCCATTGTTTTAATGTTCCTTCTGTTATTGATTCTGCCATTTGAGGTACCTGGACAGTTTTGGTTGCTATAATTCTATGAGATTATATTAAAATTTTACAAAAGGTCTACCATATGTTTGAATCCCATACAATTTCCAAATTCTGTGTGGGGTACATTGGATATTATTTGAAAAACTTAATCAAATTAAAAATGATATATTAAAAAAGTTTTAAATTTTACTTTTTAATGCATAAGATTTTAAAAATATTGTTAGCTGTAGAAAATTTATAAAAGTTATATAATTTTGGCATTTTCGTAAATTTATCTAGTAGAATAGCTTGCAAACTTTTTTTATACTAAATACTTTTTGATAGAAAACTTTACATTAGATACAAATTATTTAGATGTTTTGATATTTATTTCGGTTTTTACGATTGAGTTAAAATTTTATATACATATGTCGTATAAAATATATAGTTGTTAAATTTGGATAATATACATAATGTTTGTTATTAGATTAACCTGTACTTTTTTTTTGTATTTTCGTACTACAGTAAAGTTAAATTTATTTTTTCAAATATTTTTTTAAAATATAAAGTTGAATTCTAGATATCGAAATATTTTTCTATGATAATATATTAAATTATAAGGTTTACACATTTAATATTTCTAGAGGTTTATGGAATTGTCATTTTTTTAAATGTATAGGTCTCGAGCGCTTTCTCTTTATAGACGTTCTTTAAAGTTATCTCTTGACTGGTGTGTTAGAAGAGATGTTTGGAGATTAGAGGCATTAAAAATTAGATCTCGTTTTGAATCTAATAAAAATATTCATGATCCACGTCTTCTTTTGGCTATTTTTGATGAAACTGAAGAAATTTTGAAAAAATATAAACATCCAGATCCTTATATTGGCTAGTTTTTGTTTTTATATTAATATGACAAACTAAAACGTTTTAGTTCCTACGTCTCCAGGTGGTTCAAAATGGGAACGAAATATTCTTCCTTCTGCACATGTATTTAATCATTAACGATAATATGTTGGTTTTATTACTATTAATATAATTTAAATTTGAATGTTGATGTGGTATTTGCTTTTTTAGAAAAAAAACGTATATTCATATGTTTGTTTTTGAATGATTATATAATGTATTCATTGTTTTTTATAGTATATAAATATTATATATCAAATTTTATATTAAATTTTATATTTAAAACTTTTTAATTACGATAAACAATATTGATGCCGTATCTCAATTCTAGCTCTCTTTTTGAAAAAGATAGAATATTTCAAACATGTGTGCCTAGGTTTGTGAAGCCTTTGAACTCTAGATATTCAAATATATCTACACAATGTCTTCAAATATCTGATAAAACTTCCGATTTTTCTATTGTTCAACACAATTGGAAATTATCTAATTTGACGGATGTTTCTTCAACTGATAAAATTGATAATTTAAGGGTTTCTACAGGATCTTTTGTAAATATTTCTTTATTTATACGTGATTTAGTAAGTTTATATTAATTATAGGTTACTGGGCAAATTGTTTCTGATAGATTTGATAAACTTTATGCGAGTAGTCCAATGCCTAAATTAGTAAATGCTGCATATTTTAAATTATCAAATGCTCTTCCTTGTGGTGAATCTGAATCATCTAGTGTTTTGAAAACGGCCACTTTTTCATTAGGTATATCTGAAAAGATTGTTCAAAACTCTTGTCATATAATACAACAAAAACAAATAACACAAAGTACTGGATCTGTTAAAACGTGTTTTGGAAGTTCTGATTTTTCTTCAAAGTTTAAAAAATGTGATAATTCTTGTAATTTATTGGGAAAAAATGATTTAAACAGTATACCTCAAAATATGCAAAATTTTAATATCCAGAAATATAATGATCATTTAAAAACTTTAAAAAGACCTAGTTATCTTCCTGCGTTAAAAAAAGGTGATTTTGTAATATTACATGTTTTTAGAATCATTTTTAATAACAATATTATAGTAAAAACAAAATACATAAATCTTGAAGACTCTGAAAAAAATATTAAAAATATCTGTAATACTGAATCATTTTCTGATGTTTCAAAAATGGATAAAATTAAATATTCTTCAACTAAAGGAATTCTATATGAACAAAATCCTCTGGTAAAAAATGATTTTAAAGTACCTTTCTCTGGTTTATTTAAAACTGATATCAATCTACAAGGCTCATGTATTACAAACGAGCCTAAATGTTCAACTCTTTCTTCCTGTAATGATTTGTCTCCAGAAGATATTTCTGGTAATGGTAAAGATAACAAGTCAAAAGAAATATATCGTAGAAAAGGTAAAAAAAAATCAAATGGAAAGGCATTTAATGTATTTGACTTGTTTGAAAATCATGGATATTAATATATTTTAGAAACCTTTAACAAAAAGAGCTCCTTTTTCTTTGACTGAGAATGAATTAAAAAATCTTTCTATCTTTGGGGGTTATATTTCTGAAGAAAAGTTGAAGAGGAAGAGGCGCCCGCCAGGAAAATGGTGGCTTGTAAGCTCAAATTACTCTTGTGATTCTTTGGAAAAGGATAAAACATTTTTAACATTAGAAAAAAAAAATGGAAATTCTAAATTACGATCTGTTAAAATTGAAAATGGTAAACATATCTGTAACAATACTGTGAAATTAACAGGCAAACATATTTGCAATTCTCGCGCTTATACTGGAAATAAACAAGTAAATTTGAACTCTGTGACAATAAATGCATACGATTTCTCTGATTAAACATTCATGATTAAATTTAATACTCAAAAATACGATATTTAATTTGTTCTATGCTAATAGAGATACTAATTTGTTATAATTTAATTTATTTGATATCATAGAACACACAGGAAAACAAATACATAATTCCTAAATCCTTAAAAAGCAATATATTAAGGTGAAAATATTAATCCGCTCACTAAGTTAATATGATTATATACAAAACAATCATAACACATGAAGAAAAATATGTTCCTCAATAATCATGTGTATAAATCTTAATGTATATAAAACATACTATTAAAGCTCTTGAGACGCTAGATAATGATTAACGATTTCTATGATTCCATAAACACTGGTATTGTTCTTACCCATTTTTTTAGATTTAGCAGGAAGTAGATTAGAATGAATATTCTAAAATGCTTGTTAAAAAGTACTCAATAATAGGTTAAAAATTACCGGTAAAACCCCGCCCTGAGCAATAGTAACATGTCCAAGCAATTTATTCAATTCTTCATCATTTCTAATAGCAAGCTGTAAATGACGAGGAATAATACGAGCTATAAGAAAAAATATTAACAATGATATGCAACAATCAAAATCACTACTTTTTTTGTTATCTCGTGCAGCATTTCCTGCTAATTCAAGAATCTCAGCTGCAAGATACTCTAGAACAGCTGCAAGATATACTTTATAATGTTAAAGATAGAAATAAATAAGCAATGTGAATACCAGGTGCACCCGCTCCAACTCTTTGCGCATAGTTACCCTTTCTCAATAATCTGTGCACGCGACCAACAGGAAATGTAAGTCCTGCTTTTGATGATCGAGATTGCCCAGATTTGTTAGCTGCTGCTTTTCCTCCTTTTCCTCCAGAAGACATTTTTGTAATAGTTTCAGATAGTTGTTAATACGTGTTTTTTTTATTCTTTGTTTTGCGATTATAGAATGGTAATAATACGAGTTTATTGTCCCGTAATTATAGTAAATTCCGCATCAATAAAATTATTAGTCGATTGAAAAAGTTGACGTGTTTACATTCCTTAAATTTACTATAGCAACGCTGTGAAAAAAAAAAAAAAAAAAAGTATAATATAGTGTATTAATTTCTAAAATATTTTGTTTATTTTTTATATATATGATATTTTTTATTAATTATATAATTATTTAAAAATATCTATTCTATATATTTATTTTATATCTATATTATTTTTGTTTTTTATTATTTCTCGGTAAAATCAAGAATTCTTTTACGGGTTAGGTGTATTTTTCTGATGTAGTTTTTGATGCGTTAGGGAATATAAAGATCTATTGAGTGCATATTTTCAGAGTTTAATAAATATTTAAACTTAAATTCAAAAAGTATAAGTCAGGATTTTTTTGATATGCCTCAGAAGCCTGCTGAAAAGAAGCCTGTTGCTGGTAAAAGTTTTTCAGGGAAAGTACCTTTGGAAAGAAAAAATGTTTCGGATAAGTCGCATTCTGATAGAAAGAAACGTTTAAAGGGTCGAAAAGAGACTTATTCTTCTTATATTTATAAGGTTTTAAAACAAGTTCATCCTGATACGGGTATATCAAATAGAGCAATGTCAATTCTTAATAGCTTTGTAAATGGTGATTTTGAAGGAGTTTTGTTAGTATTTCTGACTTTTTAGATATTTTTGAACGTATTGCTTTTGAGGCATCTAAACTTGCTACTTACAATAAAAAATCTACTATTTCTTCACGTGAAATTCAGACATCCGTTCGTTTGATACTTCCGGGTGAACTTGCGAAACATGCTGTATCTGAAGGAACAAAGGCTGTAACAAGTAATTGGATATGTTTTGTTTTTATATATTAAATTTTATTAGAATATTCATCATCTAGCAAGTAGAAATATATTTGCATGAATTGGTCTTCATTGGTTATCTTACGGACTTTTTAAGGTTGGATTATGATATTTAACGTGTTGATATTATTTTTGTAATAATACGTTTCCTCTTAAATATGAATTATATTTCCGTTTTTGGCTTATTGTATGTTAATTTGTAAAATTGCTTTAATTTTATTCTTTCTAATTATATATTTGTTTAAAATTAGAGTAAATAAATGTTCGATGCAGGTGGTTTTGTTATATATATTGTGGTTTTTTTTGTTCGTTAGTTTCGTGTTTATATTACATATTTCAATGAATACTTTAGAATGTATATATATTATAGTTATTTTGATAAAACTTAAGATTATATGTTTTTCTATTAAATTAAGTTTTTATCTTAGGATTAATATTTTGATTATGCTATTATTAAATTTTACGTGTTTTATTTGATAATAATATGTATGATATAGAAATATCTTAATTATTTTCAAGTCTGTTTTTATTTTGTGTTTTAAAATGGATTTTATAATTAAATAATAAATTGTTATTTACTAAAATTAAATGATTATGTATGAATGATAAACTATTTTTTTAATCCATTATTTCATGATTAAATATTTTTTGTTATATTTATATTTGAAAGACAAATAATTATTTTTGTAGGTTAAAAATATTTTGTATTTCAAAGAAAAAGGTCATGAAATTTTGATTTTATGATTAATTTATGCTAATATATAAAATTTTGTAATTAAAATACTAAAAAAATACATTTATGAATTTTTATTATAAATATGCTTTTTAGTATTTTATTTGAACATGAAAATAAAACTAAATATTGTATATAATGATATTTTTGTTGAAATTGTATTATATAATAATTAAGAGAAAAACATATGTTTAAAATATAACCTAATTTATCTTTTATATAATTTTTAATATTTTATTAGCAATTCGTTTATTTGTTATTAATATAAAATATTTAATAGTATAATAATTAATATAATTTTAAAAAGTCTATAATATTCATATATATCTATAATTGAAATATATATATACATATAATTATTATATTTTAATAATATTAAAAAATATATAAAATATATGATAATGTTTTTATGATTAAATCTATTACATAAAAAATATCATAATTATGTTATTACGTATAAGTAATATCCTTATTCTTTTAATTTAGTGTAATTAGACATAAAAAATAATTAAAAACATATATATTATTTTATATATCTTGTACTGAATATATAAAATAATTATTACGAAATAATTTTAGCTTTTAATTTAAAAGATCGTCTACGAAAAAAAACTCCAGATAAAAATATCAAGTTTTGCCATATAGCATTATTAGAATATTTACAAAATATATAAGGGACATGAATGATGTTGAAAATGATATTGAGAATGATGTAAATCTGGATACTGACACATTTATTCAGTCTCAAAGCAAAAGAAAGTCATCTCGAGATTTTTCTCCTAATTTAAAAAAAAGAATTTCTGCTCCATGGACATCATCATTTAGTAATGTTTATGAAGATGATCCAAATGGCAAGCGTGATAAGAAATATCAAATGAATGAAGGAATTACGGATACTAATTTCACTGAGCCTGAATCAAAATTAGCGTTCGACCCAAAAGCAGAGTTTGAGCGTTTAATGAATACTCGTGCAGGTGGTTTTTAAAATAGTTATTTTTATATTCTAAATAAAGTTTAGGCGGTATTTATGTTCCTCCTGCTCGATTAAAAGCATTGCAATCTCAGTTTACTGATAAAGAGAGTAAAGAATACCAGCGTATTTATTGGGAGGCACTTAAAAAAAGTATCAATGGCCTTATTAATAAAGTATATTGGTTTTTAAAATTTAGTTTATTTGACAATAATAGGTTAATACTTTAAATATTAAAAATATTGTTATTGAATTATTTGGTGAAAATCTTATTCGTGGTCGTGGTCTTTATTGTCGATCTATCATGAAAGCTCAGGCAGTATCTTTGCCATTTACACCAATATATTCATCGTTAACTGCTGTAATTAATACAAAACTACCTTTAATTGGTGAATTACTTCTTACTCGTTTAATTGTTCAATTTCGAAAAGCTTACAAAAGAAATGATAAGGTTTAAAATTGTTATGTAAATACTTAGTTAATATTTATAGTTTTTTTGTTTGTCTTCTACTACATTTATTGCTCATTTGATTAATCATCAAGTTGCTCAAGAATTGGTTGCTCTTGAAATACTAGCATTGCTTTTAGAAAGACCTTCAAACGATGCAGTTGAAGTTGCAGTGGGTTTTATGAGAGAAGTTGGTGCATTTTTAGCAGATGTTTCTCCTAGAGGAAGTAATGCTGTTTTTGAAAGATTTCGAGCTATTTTACATGAAGGTGCAATTGAGAAGAGAGTTCAGTATATGATAGAAGTCCTTTTTCAAGTTAGAAGAGATAAATATAAGGATAATCCTATTATTCCTGAAGGTCTCGATTTAGTTGAAGACGGTGATCAAATTACTCATATGTTGAGTTTAAATGATGAATTAGATGTTCAAGAAGGTTTAGGTATATTTAAATATGATCCACAATGGCAAGAAAATGAATATCAATATAAAAAGATTAAAGATGAAATATTAGGTGAAGATAGTGATGATGAATCTCAGGATAGTGAGAGCTCATCTGAAAGTGTTGAACAATGTAATGATTTTTTTTCTATAAAATATTTCTTTAATGTTTTAAAAGCAGGCGATGATAAAATATCTATAAAAGATGAAACAAATCAAGCATTGATTAATCTCCGGCGAACTATATATCTTACTATTATGTCTAGTGTTAATTTTGAAGAATGTGCTCATAAACTTATGAAAATAAACATTGTAGAGGGACAAGAGGTATAGTTCTATTTTTAATATAATGTACTGAAGATTTTAGATTGAAATGTGCAATATGATTATTGAATGTTGTAGTCAAGAAAGAACTTATTCTCGGTTTTACGGTTTAATTGGTGAACGATTTTGCAAAATAAATCGTTTTTGGACTGAAAATTTTGAACAAACATTTTTAAATTATTATGATATTATACATCGTTATGAAACAAATAGACTTCGTAATATTGCTACTTTTTTCGGTCATCTTTTATCATCTGATGCTATAAGTTGGCATGTTATGCGTTGTATTCATTTGAATGAAGATGAAACGACTAGTAGTTCTAGAATTTTTGTTAAAATTTTATTTCAAGAGTTGATGGGAGTTCTTGGCATACGTGAATTAGATGAACGTTTGAAAGATCCACTTTTACAGGAGTCTCTCTGTAATATGTTTCCTCGTGATATTCCAAAAAATACTAGATTTGCGATAAATTATTTTACTTCTATAGGATTAGGATTAATAACTGTTTCATTGCGTGAGCATTTGGAAACTATGAAGGTGGTAAAGTTTTGATAATATAGTATTAACTCTAATTTCATTAGAATACTGTTATAGAAGAACAAAGCCTTTCTAAATCATCATCTTCAAGTGCAACTTCCTATACTACATCATATTCATCTGGATCTTTATCTAGATCATGTTCCATTGATACTTCTGAATCATTGAATCGTTCAAGGTCTCGTCGTCGTTCACCTAGTCGTCATAGAAAAAGATCTCCTCATGATAATTATTCAAGGCCACGGTCACGTTCATTAAATCGTTCCAAATTGCAGACTTCTGAGTCATTGAATCGTTCAAGGTCTCGTCGACGTTCACCTAGTCGTCATAGGAAAAGATCTCCTCATGTATAAATATTATACTTTAGGCTTATGTCTTGATCTATTTAGTTATTTTACAAACAATATCTTTTTGACTAGTCGTACAAAAATATCTCATTCTGAATTATAAATTTTATTGTGATTTCAATTATGTAAATACTGTTTATTGATATATTACATTGATAAATACTTTAAGAAATATTAAATATATGAGTTTAATCATTTGATTTATGTTAAATTTTTATTTAAGTTAAATTTATAATAATATTTATAATAATTTATTAAAAGAATAAAAAACTTCAATATTTATAAAAATAATGTAATATTTTGAATATTTTTTTAATTATAATTATTTGAAACTATAAAAAAATATATTATAATAATATAACATATATAACATATATAACATATATATGTTATATTTTAATAATATTTATATTAATTTATTGAATGAATAAAAAAAAACTTATATATTTATAAAATAAATAATATAATATTTTGAACATTTTTTTAATTATAATTATTTGAAACTATAAAAAAATATGTAATAATAATTTAAAATATACAATATAAATATGTTATATTCTAATAATAATATGTGATTTTTTTTTATAAATTAATATTTAGTAGATATTAGCTTTTTATACTTACTAATAAAAGTACATATTTATTGATAAATATTAATATAAAGTTCATATATATTCAATTGTTATTAAATTTGATTACAATATAAATTAACTGTTTTGCAAATTATAATATGATAAACATAAATTAATTAATCATAAACAATAAAAAAAATGTCAGCTATTTTTTTTTAACAAATTAGTATATGTAATATTTAAATGCATTTTTAGTCATTTATATTTTTTAAAAAAAAATATATTATAGATTGTAATTATACAAAAATTATTTAAATAATGATATTAATATATATATTATTTAAAAATTTAGCAATTCTATTTACTATCTATAAACAAAAAATAATTATAAAATATAATATTATAACCTAGTAATTTAAATTATATTAACACAATACATATATATCTTTATTTATATATACATTTTTTTTTTTTCAATTAACATAATAACTTTTAAAGTATATATATTTTTAATCAATCATATTTTTTAAAACAGTTATCTAAACGTTCAACATATCGTTATCAAAAATGACAACATAATTTTCTAGATAATATTAGCAATTTAAGTATCATTCGAAATAATTATAAGGCAATTCATATTATCTTATATAAATAATTTGTTTTAATAATATTGTTTATATCATACTTTAAATACACAATATATATATACAATTTATTATGGTTATTTATCTTTAGAAGAGTTTAAAAATGAATCATCAGAAACCATTAAATCAACTTTTGATGGATATAAAACATTAAAATTTTCATAAGTACTAACTTCCCTTCGAAGTTCTTCAAGCTCTTTCTGAAAACGTCGGCCAAACACATCAACTATTTTAAAATTATCACAGAAAAATTATAAAACAAAGTATCCAAACTTACCATAGTAAGATGCACCTATTATAAAATATTAGCAATTATAAAAATATTAATAAATAAACCATTCCAAACACTCCATGCAAATAAAGATGAAAGAAATATTGTTGAAAACTTCTTATGAGAATACCACCAAGGACAAGGTGTCATAGTTATTAAAGTATATATATACTAATCAATTAAATATAAGTATAATATTTTTTTAAATATTCACTTGTATTGCCATGAAAGCAAAGGGACGAGTAGGTTCAGGAAGTTTCAAGATAAGCCTTCCTATCCATGTATTTGAATAACTAAATTGGTAAAAACAAATCATATATCATTATTTTAAACCTTTTTAAAAGCCATGTAAAAGATGTAGGTCTTCCAGCAGATATTTTTTCTCGTCTTCTAACCTAATAAAATTTAACATAAACGATATTATATAAAGCTAAATACTTGAATAAAAATATAATATAAAGCCTGCCAAATAAAATAGGTAATAGAAGTCGCTATAAACGCAGGAAATATATCAATATGTGTCAATTCTTCCAGTACAGGAAACCTTTTATAAGTATAATCTGTAGGAACAATATGAATAATTGTATGCAAAACAGTCGGAGGAAATATATGAATAAATAAGCTTGTAACCTTATCCCTATTTTTCATTATTAAAAAAGAAAAACCTTAAAGTAACTACATAGAATGAAAAACAAGTGAATTTTTCCAAGCAATAATTGCCCAAGATAAAGACCCAAAAGAAAGGAAATAAGTAGAAACAAAAAGAAATTTTGAGGAAGGAAAGATCCAAAGATAGACAAGTAACTTAATATTAACAAAAGAAAAAAAAAAAATGAAAGTTACCATCATGTTAACCCAATAACATAAATCTAAAATAATAAACAAATAATCAATAACAAAATAATTTCTAACCAGCAATAAAATAATGCATCCCTTTACGATGATATGTAATATATCTTAAAGGCATAAAATATAAAATTTGAACCGAATACCAAACATGAAGATGCTGAGGAGACATTCCTATTAATAAAGCAGAAAAAAATACATTTCCGACACCGAGAACAAATGCAACTTTGTCCCTTGTCCTAATCATACTCCCATCTACCCATTTTTTTTGTAATTTATCAACTTTATCGGTCACACGTCCTTTTATTTTCTCCAATTCTTTGTCAACTTTTTTTTGTAAAGGCCTAACTTTATTCTCTCTAAACTAAAATCATGTAAATGTATCCAAGAAAAATGAAAGAAAGTACTTCATCTCTTTTTCTACGAACATGACGATTCAAATTACCTAATGTTTTTATGGGAACATTAGAAATAGAATCAAATACACCAAAAAATGTTAAAATTGAAAACTCTAGATCGTCATCTCCAATATAATCAGAAAGAGATAATAAGTTTTTTCTTTGTGATCGTTTTTGAGAAACATCATCAGAATCCATCTTAAAGTAAAAATACAAAAACTTATCGAAATATTAAATCTACTTAAAAAACTATATTATAAAAAAAACGAAACAGCTAATTTCTAAAATTTTTAAATTTATTAGGATTATTCCACATTTAAGCTTATAGAAATACTATAGAAACAGATATTGCATCTGAAATGCCACCAGTCGTCCCAAATATCACTCAGCAAAATATGGGAAGAACAATAACAATTGAAGATATGAATCGTCTTGTAATAAATTGGCTCTCTCAGCATGGATACTCTAGGACAGAGGCTATACTAAGACTGGAGTCTGCAAGAGGGCCAGAGGCATTGAATTCAGCTAAGAATTCACTAGACTGGCTTAATGGTAATGCAGACACATATTTTCAATCATATATGTTATTGAGAGATTGGATTGATAGTTCATTGGAATTATATAGGGTTTTTATTTAAGATGACATGTTAAATAATCTGATATATCTATATAGCCTGAACTAAGACGTGTTCTATTTCCTATATTTATTCATTCATATCTTGATTTAATTTCTAAGAACCAGATAAACTCAGGTAATAGTGCATAAAAATTTTTACATTTTGTATAATATTTTTATTTAGCAAAACAATTTTTTAACACATATTCATCTGAACATGAAGTTCTTCATGGCCATGATATCCGTCAAATATCTTCTATTACATTACCTGAGCATATTGAAGAAAATGAACTTGTAAAACTTTATCGCCAAAACAAATATAGAATAACCATGTGGAGAACTGCTTTTGATTTAATGCTACACTTCCTTTTTGAAAACGAATCTAATGGAGGTGCAATTATAATGAGACTGTTGAATCAACATATTGAAACAAAAATTGTTACAGGAAGACCCGACCAATTTATAAATAGTATAGTTACGAATGATGAAGGAATTTCAGGATATGATGTATATCATTTTGATAACTTTAATAAGCAACCAGTTAAACTAGGCGAAATGCCATTGGATACAGATCTAAAAAACGATATAGAAATGGAACTTGCAAGCCTTGACAATGAAATTGAAAAAACTAATGAAAAATGCAAAAAGTCATTTCTCGAAGAATTTAAAAACAAAAAAGAAATATCAGAAGACTCTCCTATGAAGAATTCTATTCCCTTACCTACATTGTAAGTTGATTATTTTTACTAGTTTTCCTATATATTTTATAGTAAAGGTATAGATGTTGAAAAAGAAATCGAAGTAATTAAAGATTTAAGAAAACGTCTTATTTTAGGCCCACAAGCATCATTACCCAGTGTTTGCATGTATACTTTTCATAATACTCATGATAGGTAAAAATTATATATTATTTAATTACATACATACAAACAATTCTAGTCTTAACTGTACAGATATTTCTGAAAATGCATCATTAATAGCATGTGGATTTTCTGAAAGCTATATCAGAGTTTGGAATACATCTGTAAATAAAACAGTTACATCAGATTCTACAACACCTAACGATTCAGGTATATTTATAAAGCTACTTAAAAAATTTTAAATAATTTTAGTATTATATCAAAAATCTCATAGTCGACGTTTCATTGGTCATTCAGGTCCTGTTTATGGCATTGCATTTAGCAATGACAATAGATTTATTTTGTCATGTTCAGAAGATCGTTCTTGCCGCCTATGGTCTTTAGATACAAATACATGTCTTGTAGCGTATAAAGGACACAATCAACCGATATGGGATATTGCAATAGGTCCATTTGGACACTATTTTGCTACAGCATCTCACGATCAAACTGCACGTTTATGGAGCTATGAACATATGTATCCTCTTAGGATTTTTGCAGGACATCTTAGTGATGTAGATGTAAATTATATACACTTCAATTATAAAGAAATCTAATATCATACAGTGTGTTTCATTTCATCCCAATTCAGCATATGTTGCAACAGGCTCTAGCGATAAGACCAGTAGATTATGGGACGTCCAAAAAGGAAGTGCAGTAAGGGTATTTACAGGTCATTCTGGTCCTATAAATTGTGTAACAATATCACCAGATGGAAAATTACTTGCAACTGCAGGTTTTTTTTTTTATAATATTATCAACAACTAATATTATTTAAGGAGATGATGGACTTATAAACATTTACGATATCGGTTTAGGCAAGCAATTGAAGAGTATGAAAGGACATACACGAAAATCTATTTATTCATTATCATTTTCAAAAGAAAGTTCAGTACTTGTTAGCGGAGGATCAGATTGCACAGTAAGAATATGGGATGTAAAACGCGATGCGTCTAATAACGAAAACATATCAGAAATATCAGAGGGATATAATCTAGAAACAGCAAATAATACAATAACTAAAACATCTATGTTGACAGCAAAAGAAAAAAAAGAAAACATTAAAACGTAAGTAATTATTGTAAAAGCGTTTATTAATATATTTTAGACCGGATCACATGGCTGCCCTATATACATGCAAAACACCTGTTTACAAAGTCCAATTTACAAGAAGAAACTTATGTTTAGCACTTTCAGTTAGTGGTGTCACATAATATTATATTTTAATATATAACAAAAGAAATTTATAAATCACATAACATTTAAAACATTTATGTATTTTTGAATGGTTATTTGTTACGTTTAACTAAAATCTCATCAATAATACCTAGCTCAAGTGCCTTATAAAAATTATTTTTTAAGTCCGATTTCCAAATAACATACCTCTTGTGGAGTTAGAAAATAATCTCTTTCCATTATTTTTTCTAAAGCAATCAATAATAATAAATTATCTGAAAAATTTACCTATATCGCCTAAGTCTTTAATTCTAGTTAAATGTTTTTGATAAATAAAATTTAAACGCTCTCTAACTTTCAAAATTTCACGTGCATGAATTGCTATATCACTAATTCTTTTATCAATAACCATAAGAATATAACATATGCAAACCTAGCTTGCCCAGATACACCACCACTCGGCTGATGAATCATAATACTTGCATGAGGTAATGCATATCTTTGCCCAGGAGCACCTCCTGCCAATAAAAGAGATGCCATTGATGATGCTTGACCAATACATAATGTAGAAACAGGTGATCGAATATATTGCATAGTATCGTAAAGAGCAAGGCCTAAAAAATAATTAATTTTTTTTAATGATCAATTATTACAAACCAGCAGTTACACTTCCTATTTTATCAATAAATAAAAAAATTTATTTGTAATTTCAATTATACTTTCCTCCAGAAGAATTAATGTAAAGAGAAATAGGTTTTTCAGGATTTTCTGCCTCTAAAAAAAGTAATTGAGCAACAACTACAGCAGAAACTCCATCATTTATCTATATGAATATAAGATAACTGTTTTTTTTTTTTTTTTGAAAACTAAATAATACATACTACTCCATTAAGACATACTATCCTTTCTCTTAATAATCTATAAAAGTCAAAATCATAGACACACACACACACACAAGCATATATATATTAAATATAAAAATTTAGAAAAAAATACCTGCTAAAAATGTCAAAAGTATTAACAAATCTCCCCTAATGGTAAAAATCAACACGATGCATTAATCATTTTTAACATACGGTTTGTTCAATAACATATGGTACAGGAATATGAGAAAATAATCTATTTTGAAAATTTAAAAAACATTTATTATTTGTATATTCAAAAAACTCTCTTTTCTTGAAATAAGTTAAATATAATTGGGATAATTTCGTATTCCATAATCTATTTCTTGTGATCATTTCTTTAGATTTTCAGCGATTAAATGATAATTATTAAATTATTCAAATATTAAATATTTTTAAAATTAAAATATTTATAAGATTAATATATATATATATGTAAAACAAAAAATTCATATGAAAATATTTTAAAAAGTTAATAAAAATTTAGTATATTAAATATTTTAATTTAACACATTTATTTTATTTTAGAGAATAAACAAAAACATTAATAAAACACGCCAAATGATTATTCTTTTTTTTTAAAATAAAAATAATATTTATAAAAATATATTAAAAATCTAACATATCAAAAAATAAAGATTTGTTCACATTTTAAAACTGATACATCAAATAATAATATTTTTTTCAATAAATATAACAATATAATTGCATTATTACCATCATATATAAAAAATAATTCTGAATATATTCTAAAATATATTTTTTAATTTATAAGAGTTAGGGTTATAATATATCTAAAAATAAAAACTTGAAAGTTAAAACGAGAATACAAATCAAATAATTAGGAAAAAAAACACTAGAAAAAGATATTTTAAAGTAATTTATATATTTCATATATCAGACTATCTAAAGCAAAAAGAAAATCCGAAAATACCCGTATCAGCTAATCCTTTTATTCAAAATAATTGTTTTACAGCTATCAAAAAATTTAAAAGAACTTATCCATATGCCAAGACCTCCGATCTAGCTTTATTATACAAGGAGATATTCAAGAAAACAGCTTTGAAATACATATCCTTATAACTAGATTTAAACATTATCATGGCTGAAAATGGATCAAATGTGATTAACAACTACCAACAATATAGTTCATTACCTCAACGACTTTTCCAACCTAGACATACTCATGAATCGCCCTCGAAAAATGAAGCATCTTCACAAAGTTATCCCTCAACTCCTTCACACACATCTAATTTATCATATAATCTCACTAATTCTGCTCATCACGATTTATACAGTTCTACTCAACGTTATTCCACCCAAATAAATATTTCAAAATTCCAGCAGACACAGGAGCACTTGAACTCTACAAATGGTTTGAACAGCCAGCATACTTTTACCTCGAGAAATCCTATTAATATCACTACTAATAATAATTCACTTACTTTCGACGCATCATCTGCAAACAGTCCACATTGGCAACAACAATTATCTTATGCAAAAATATCTAGACAATCAAGCTCACCTCATCATCATGCTAGAACGGCAGTAGCAACTACTCACGATGTATCTTCAAATTCTGCAATTACAGATCCAAATAATCTTAATAAAGCATCTACAGATGGAATACATAGGAAAGATGGCCCTCCAGTGGAAAAACAAGATGTTCAGAGAGATAATGGAGGGAAAATAAAAAGACAGGATTGGACTAATTTGGATATGGGTGGAATGGGGCTACGTAACATTGGTCAGGAATTATTTCGTTATACGTTTTTAACTTCTCTTTATATTAACCACAATAAACTACTTAGGATTCCCTCTGACATTGGGCGTCTTAGACTTCTTACTCAGCTTGATGTTTCCGGAAATAATTTGACTAACTTACCCCCAGAAATTGGCATGCTTACAAACCTTAAAGAGCTTTTATTTTTTGACAACCAAATAACTAATATACCACCAGAATTTGGTACTCTTTATCAACTTGAAACTCTTGGACTAGAAGGAAATCCATTGCCTGATGCTTTTAAAAGTTTATTGGCAAAAGATGGTACTAAGTCTTTAATTTATTATTTAAGGGATAGTTGTTCAGGTTTATATCTTGATATATATATATATATATATATGTATTTAATAGTTATTAGTTCCTCTTCCTCCTCCAGAAAGAGAATGGATCACATTTCCGGGAAAGAAATCGGAAAATTCATCTCTCGAAAATGAGACTTTTACTGTATTTAACTACAATATATTATGCGATAGATGTGCAACTGTTATAATGTATGGATATACACCATCTTGGGCATTATCATGGGATTATCGCAAAGAACTTATATTACATGAAGTATTATCATATAACGCAGATATAGTTTGTCTTCAAGTATATATATTTTATTATGATTAACGTCTCTAAATCGTTATTAGGAAGTAGATGTTGATAATTTTGAAGAATATTTTTCTCCTAAGCTCTCTATTAAAGGTTATAAAGGAATATTTTGGCCTAAATCACGTGCAAAAACTATGAATGACGCAGAACGTAGAGTAGTTGATGGTTGTGCTACTTTTTTCAAAACAAACATGTACATTTTTGATATTTTTTTATCAGAAACTAATAATCTTAGATTCGATTTATTAGAAAAGCAATTAATCGAATTTAACCAAGCACCTTTACGTCGAGATGGACATAAACTTACTCATGATATGTATAATCGTGTTATGACCAAAGATAATATTTGTGTCGTATCATTACTTGAACATCGAAATGCAGGTTATCGTCTAATAATTGCAAATACACATTTTTGTTGGGATCCAAAATTTCGAGATGTTAAAGTTATACAAGCAACAATGCTCATGGATGAGCTTACTGAAATGGCTGAAAACTATGCAAAAATACCAGTTCGAAAAAGACCATCCAAAATATTAGATGATACTTTTGATTTTAACTGGAATGAAAATCGACCTACATATTCATCAGGAACTAAAATACCAATGGTTATTTGCGGAGACTTTAATTCAATTCCTGGTAGTGGTGTATATGATTTTCTTTCTCGAGGTCATATTCTTGAAAATCATAGTGATTTTATGGATAGTAAGTATGGTACATATACTACAGATGGAAGATCACATTCTTTCCAATTAAAAAGCTCCTATAACATTATAGGCGAACTCCCATTTACGAACTACACTCCTGGATTTTCTGGTGTAATAGACTACATTTGGCATACAACAAATTCTCTTGAAGTTACAGGACTTCTTCAAGAAGTTGATAAACAATATTTAGATGGAGTAGTTGGATTCCCAAATGCACATTTTCCAAGCGAGTAAGTAGCAATTTAGCTAAATTAATAAATAATTTACTCATTTAGTCATATTTCTATTCTTGCAGAGTTTAAAGTAAAAAAAGAAAAAAACCAACTACCTCCACCAGATTTTGGTTCTCGAAAATAAAACAAAATGTCTCAAAACATTTAGACTATAATTTCATCAGATTTTTATCTAAGATTAAAAAACATATAATACTTTTGCTCATCTACATTTACTAGTCTTGCTCAATTTAAATATTTTTCATAGATTACGCTTTCTAATCTAATTTTTGTAAATAACCTGAATAAAACAATTTCAATTGAAAAATTTATTTTAAAACATTCGTAATAAATTTCTTGTGAAATATTTTAAATGTCTGCAAAACATCTTATAACTAAATCTGATTACAAAAAATTTCTTTCTGAATTTGATACATTTCTTTTCGATTGTGATGGTACACAATTAACATTTAACATATTATTTTTAATTAATTTCTAGGTGTTTTATGGAAAGGTACAAAGTTATTGCCAAATGTTCAACAAACATTAAACTTTATACGATTAAAAGGTATAACTATTTTAATATTGAAGAAAAGTATTAATTATAAACTAGGAAAAAGTATCGCATTTGTCACAAATAATTCATCAAATCCAAGAGAGGAATATCAAAAAAAATTTATGGAATTAGGACTTGATGTAAAATTAGTAATTATAAACATTCAACTAAATAATACTTAAAAAGAAATGATATAGGATGAAATATTTAATTCATCATATTCTGCAGCTCTGTATTTAAAAAATGTTGTCAAATTTCCTAAGGAGAAGAAAATTTACATTATTGGAGAAGAAGGTCTTGAAAAGGAATTAGATAGACAAGGAATAAAATATATAGGAGGAACTGTAAAATATATTTACTACATTTTAATTTTTATAATATATTTACAATATAAAGGATCCTTCTGAAAGAAGAGATATAAAAACAGAAGATTTTGAAGATCTCAATTTAGATCCATCAGTTGGGGCAGTTTTATGTGGCCTTGATTTACATATAAATTATCTAAAATATTCTAAAGCTCTTGGATATCTTCAAAACGAAAATGTATTATTTCTTATAACTAACTCTGATTCTACATATCCTGCTTCCGGAGGATTATTCCCTGGAGCAGGATCATGCTCAGCTCCTCTCTTAAATGCATCAGGAAGAGAGGCAATATTCCTAGGGAAGCCGAATCCAGAAATGCTTCAAGCAATTGAATCTAAATTTAAATTTGACAAGTCTAAAACATGTTTTATTGGAGATAGGATTGACACAGATATATTATTTGCAAAAAATTCAGGTATTAAAAGCTGTTTAGTACTTACAGTAATCAATATATTCATATTATTATATTGCTTCTAAATTATTATATATAGGGGATAAGCAAAGATGTTATATTAAAAAACACATCGAATATTATGCCCGATTATTATATGGAAATGTTGGGTAATCTTCTTAATGCTGATGATATATAAAAAAATTAATATATATTTCTACAAAAATATAATAAATTATATGTCAATTAAATGTATCTTTTGACGTTACAGATATGTATATATATAAACAATACTTGAATTTGTATTCAATACTGTTTTTTCCTAGTAATTATAAAAATCGCAAATTCAATTAGCTTTAAAAATAAGTTCTAAAGTTAATATTATACTTTATGAACATAAGTGTATATGAAATTAAAGTCTAAATAATATAAACATAAAAAATATAAATTTAAATTAACAAGTCTAAACTATATTTTAAAACTAATTAAATCTATCGATTTCATAATTGTGCTAAGATTTTAAAAATAGATTAATTTCGACATTATATTTCTAAAATCAATTATTCAACATTTTCAAAATTTAACATGTGATCTCAAATATCACGTATAACCTATCCAAAAATAACACATTTAATGTGCATACATACATACATACATACATACATACATACATACATACATGCATACATAGATACATAGATACATACATATGCAATACGTTAACAAAAAATCAACATTTCTATATAATTCTTACCCAAAAAAAAGTTACCAAAGAAATCGTAAAATATAAAATTAATATTTTATTAATAATATAATTTAAAACATCTCGATATTTATATAAAAATTCAATTTAGATAAAAGTTTAAAACATATCTGTTGCTTTGTTTCTGCGTTTTGAAGAACCCTTTATATTCAAAATGAAAGGAGTTTTCTCTATTGTAGTATTATTTGAAGAAAAATAACTAACATGTCTTTGAAAATTCAACTTTTCGGGAAAAAGTTCTTTATGAGATACTTCATTTGATCCTTCAGTAGAATTTTTTCTATGATCCAATTTCACTAATTTCTTAGGAAATAACTCATTAGAGGTTAAATTTGCCAATTTCTCAGGAAACAATTCAATATTGCTTTTTAAGGAAGTTCTGCTCAACGATAAAGAATCTTCAAGCGTTTGACGATCACAGTTTGAATTAAGAAATGAAGAGCCATGTAACGTTGATGATAATACTGGTTTATCTTTTTTAGATAAAAAATTAACTTCCAAATTAGATTGATCTCTTGAATATTTATATGGACCAAATCTTCGAGAAGTATTTTGTTTGCGACGATATCTGTAGAATTTAAAACAATCACATAAAATTTTCATATACTTACGATATATATCTTTTTTCACTAGGATGTTGATGAAAAAGGTACCATCTACTTCTTTCTCTTGCACCAGGCATCTTTTTATCTGAAATGCTGGAATGTCTTATAAATAATTGAGCATTATTATATTTTAAACACGTTTTTGCTGGTACAAGAGAACTAACATATAATGTATCAACTTTAGAACAAGAAATACTAGAAAGTACAGATAATGCAGTCGAGGCGTCAGAATATACTAAATTACCTACATTTAAAGTTAACAAATTTGATATAAAATAAATTAAAATACATGATGAATCATCAATCCATTCAATCGAAGGTGAAACGGCTGGATAATAAGTAATACAATACTCTTTTACATCATCCGTAGACATTTGATCCACTCCTTTTAAATATAAAGCTTCAGGCCGCACCGTATTTAAAAATTCTAATATTTTTTGATAAACACATTATTTCAAAAAAGTGATTTACCATTTTTTTGTATATCTAATTCTTTAAAATCATAAACCACACCATTTTCATTCTAATTTTGAAAATTCATATACTCATCAAAAATAAATTTAGTAATACCTTTATAATATTTTTAGGTTCATCCAAGGATATATCTAATTCTTTACATTCATTTTCTCCCTCATGATCCATTTCAACATCATCAATCCCTAATTCCATCTCTTCATTTTCATCTAAAATCATCTTTAATTTTCTTCATTAATTATTGATAAATACAGTTCCAAGTCATTTTGTTTTAAGAAGCTAATATTTTTAAAATTAACGACTCGCGTCCAAAAATACTCCTATATCAAATTATAAAAATATATGCAAATATTACTATAAAAATCAATAATAAAATACAAAGATATAATTTTCATTTATAATAGCTATATATATTTATCATGGGGAAATTAATACAACTTGAATTACAAAATTTTAAGTCATATAAAGGACATCAAACGATAGGTCCATTTTATGATTTTACATCTATTATAGGACCAAATGGCTCAGGAAAGTAGTAGAAAAAGCCACCTTCTATTCATTTAATGGAATATATAGGAAAATCAAATTTAATGGATGCTATATCATTTGTTTTAGGTTTTAAATCGTCTCAATTACGCTCATCTCATTTTACGGATCTTATTTATCATGAACAAGCAACATCAAATGAAGAAAATTCACGAAAGAATTTAGAAAATACAATCAAAGATGCGTGGGTAATGCTTGTATATGAAGATGATAACGAAAATCATATACAATATAAAAGAACGTAAGTTCTCTAAATATACGTTTTTTTAATTTAGTATAATCAGAATATCATCATCTGGAACGACAGAATATATAATCAATAACAAAATAGTTACGGCAGCTACTTATAACAAAGCACTTGAAGGACATAACATTCTTATTAAAGCAAAAAACTTTTTAGTATTCCAGGTATAAGCAATACATTTCTCTTTATCATAAAGAATAATAAATAAGGGTGACGTAGAGGCAATTGCATCTCAATCTCCAAAAGATTTAACTAGACTTATAGAACAAATAAGTGGGTATAATTACATATCTAATGTATATATAATGTGTATTCAAAATCTCTAGATCATTGGAATATAAGTCTGAATATGAAAGGCTTAAAATAGAACAAGAGAGGGCTATAGATAATTCTACCTATGCTTTTCATAGAAAAAGGGGAATTAATGCAGAAATCAAACAGTATAAAGAACAAAAAGCAGAAGCTGAAAACTATGCAACAAAATTAGACCAAAGAGTACAATCTTATTAATTGTAAAAATAGATTTATTTTTTATAGGACAATGCAATTACACTGCATTTAACATGGAAATTATTTCATCTAGAGCGCAAAATAAACAATAACAAAGAAGTTATATCTCACAATGTTTCTAAATCTAAAGAACTAGATATAGAAAAAAAAAAATATCAAGAAAATTTAAACGAGACTAAAAAAATTCAAGCTAAGATAACAAAAGATATTTTAAAACAAGAAAAATCTATCAAAGAAAAAGAAAAAGCATTAGAAGAGCAATTACCAATTCTTATTGCAGCCAAGGAAAAAATAGATGGCGCAAATATAAGTATCAGTAAATGCAATTATAGAATTAACGAAATAGAAAGAGATAAATCCAGACAGTCAAACCATGTCCTATCTTTTGAAAAAGATTTATCTATAGTAAAGAAAGCTTTTCAGAAATTTGAAGAAGAACAAACAAAATTAGCAAAGCAAAAAGGTGTTATTTTTAGTGACACAGATTTTGAAGAATATAAAAAACTAAAAGATGAAGTAAATAGCAAAATATCTATTCAAAAACAAGAATTAGAAAATTTGCATCGTCAACACAAAGTTGATTCTGAATCTACTAATGTTCTTCAAGAAAATTATAATCAATTGAAACGACAAGAAGACGTCCTTGAAGAAGAAGTTTATTTATTGTCTATACAAAAATCTGAAGTATTAAAGTGCATTTTTAAAATAATGTTTTATATTATTAGGTTACATCAAAAGTAAATCAGTTAATTCAAGATTTAGAAAAAGAAAGGAATAATTTAGAAGTTATCCAATCATCTCGTATTCGAATAGCACAGCAAGAAATAGAACTTAATGAAAAATTACAAGAATGTCTTAATAAATTACTTCGAATTAATGCAGATAAACGAGAATCAGAACGTGAATTGAAAACAAAAGATATTGTTAATACATTAAAAAGAATATTTCCAGGAGTTCGTGGACGTATTATAGACTTGTATCGGCCTACTCAAAGAAAATATGAGGTTGCTATAGCTACTGTTTGCGGGAAGAATATAAATTCAGTTGTTGTTAACAATCAAAAAATTGCTAAGGAGTGTATTGAATATCTTCGTGATCAAAGATTAGGGATATTAACATTCATACCTTTAGATACTTGTCAAATTAAATCTATTGATCAAAAATTACGTAATATTCATCCTCAAGCACGTTTAGCGCTGGACGTTATTAGTTACGAGCCATCTATTGAAAGAGCTATACAATTCGCAACAGGAAATGCATTAATATGTGATGATTTTAATATTGCTAAAAGTATTCGTTACAATAAAAATATAGAAACCAAAAGTATATTTATCTACCTTAATAGATTATAGTCATAATTTTTTTTAGTTGTGACACTAGATGGTACAGTTCTTCATAAGGCTGGACTTATAACTGGAGGACAGAATCAGAATTTTAAGCAAGAATATAGATGGGATGAGCAAGAAATAGAAGGTTTGTAATTAAACATTATTTAATATGAAGACAAATTTATTACTCTTAGCTCTTAAACAACTCCGTGATAATCTTATAAGTCAACTTCAAGATATTCAAAAAGACAAAAGAAAAGATATGACAGAAGAAATTGCAAGCTCTAACATTTCAGGATTGGAACCACAACTTCAATTTTCTAGAGAAGATTTAGTATTATATTTAACCTTTTTTTATGTTATTAATTATTGTAGAACATGATACAAAGAAATCTTAATGGAAAAAAAGAAGAGATAGAACACATAAAAAAACAATCAGAAGAAATGTCACAAAAACTTGAAAAGGATCAAAACTTACTTGATCAACGTGCAAAAAAAATATCAAAACTTCAAAGTGAAATAAACAATATAGAAGATAAAATTTTTCAGGACTTTTGCTCAAAAATAAAAATAAAGAATATAAGACAATATGAAAATAAACACGAAACATGGGCTCAGGAAGCAGCAGAAAAAAGAATGAAATTTCTAACCCAGGAATCGAAATTAAATAATCAGTAAAATATATAATAGAAATGATTTCATTAATTTTAAGATTTTATAGACTAACTTTCGAAAAACAAAAACTTAATGAAACTTCTGAAAGAACTAAGAAATTGCAAATGTTTATAGCTAGAGATTCATCATTAATATTGCAACTCGAGAAAGAAAAAAAGGAAACCCAAGAAACCATAGACATTTTAAAAGCTCAATTAGCGCAAAAACGAGAAATTCATACAATTAAAAAGAAAGAACATAGCGAAAAGACACAAATTGTAAATGAACTCCATCAGAAAATTAACAAATGGACAAAACAAATTGATTCTCTTTCTAAAATAAATTCCGAAATTGAATCTGAGATTGAAAGAATATCATTTGAACGATATACAATTTTCAAGCGCTGTAAGCTTGAAGGAATTAACATTCCTCTTATTTTAGGAAATCTTAATGATATCCCAATCGATGAATCGATAATGCAAAATCATATAAATACTGAAAATGAGGAAACAAATAAAATAAAAACTAAAATATCTGATTGGAAAATTGAAGTTGACTATGGTTTATTAGATAAAAATCTTAAAGAAGATGGTTCTATAGATATGGAAAATCTCTTATTCGAAAAAATATCCGATTTAACATCAGAAATAGAAAAAATCGCCCCTAATATGAAAGCTACCGAACGCTTAGAGGGTGTAGAAAATAAATTGCATGATACTGAAAAATATTTTGATAAAGCACGTAAAGAAACTAAACAAGCCAGAGACAATTTTAACGCAATAAAACAAAAAAGGTAATCTTTTAAAACAAGATGAAACAAGTTTGACAAAATAGATATGCTTTATTTCATAAAGCATATACACATATATCAGAACAAATAGATCAGATATATAAAGATCTAACTAAAAGTAAATCGTTTCCCTTAGGCGGAACTGCATATCTAAGCTTAGAGGATACCGAGGTAATCATATTATTAAAAATAGAGCAAAATTAATGCAGTAAAGGAACCTTATCTAAATGGTGTTAAATATCATGCAATGCCTCCAATGAAACGATTTAGAGATATGGAACAATTGTCTGGAGGTGAAAAAACTATAGCAGCATTAGCATTGCTATTTGCAATTCATTCTTATCATCCATCGCCATTTTTTGTTTTAGATGAGATTGATGCAGCATTAGACAATACAAATGTAACTAAAATTGCAAATTATATACGCCAACATGCTGGTAACGGATTTCAGTTTATTGTTATTAGTTTAAAAAACGCTCTTTTCCATCAATCAGAAGCACTAGTAGGGATTTATAGAGAACATACTTCTAATAGCTCTAAGTCTTTAACATTAAATGTTTTATTTTTATTTTTTTTTTAAATATCTAACTTTTATTAGTTGCAAGATTATAGCGAATAATATAATTGAAAATATATTTGCAAAATTATATAAAATATTTATTTTTAAAATTATTGTTTTTTATTCAAAAATAGATTTTATAAATATTTCTAACAACTTAATCATTGAATTACAATTTAGGGTTTAACCCTCCTGTTTTTAAAATATACGTTGAAGAAAACGTCAGAATTGAAAGACAATTAAAGTTTTCGAAATAAAAACACTTATAGATTTATATTCCATATAGAAGATATGGAAACACATACTATGAATTATGATGATATTGAAGAAACAGAAGGGATCCGGTAAATAAATACTTTAAATTTTAAAATACAATTAATTTTGACATTTAAGTTTTTCATGGAATGTTTTCCCATCAACCCGTTTAGAAAATTCAAAGATGGTGGTTCCCATTGCCGCATTATATATGCCATTAATTGAACGTCCTGAATTACCACCAGTTCAATACGAACCAGTATCTTGTAAAGCACCATGTCGAGCAATTTTAAATCCATATTGGTTAATAATTTCTTTATTCCCTAAAAAATGCTAATATCATGTAATGTAGTCAAGTTGATATGCGTGGAAGAATTTGGATCTGTAATTTTTTAAGAGCCAAAAATGTAACATTAACAATTATATATATAGGTCCGTTTTGTTTAACTCGAAACCAACTCCCTCCTATGTATAAGGATATTTCTCCTCAAAACTTGCCTATGGAGCTATTGCCAAAATATACAACTATAGAGTATATTTTATCACGCCCATCTCAAACACCTCCAATATTTTTATTTGTTGTTGATACATGTCTTGAAGAAGACAATTTACAAGCTCTAAAAGACGCACTCATTGTAAGCTTTAGCCTGGTACCTCATGATTCTTTAGTTGGATTGATTACATATGGAACTATGGTTCGTATATCATTAAAAATGCTGATTAAATTAATATTATAGACTAATGTTTATGAACTTGGATATTCTGAATGTACAAAATATTATGTATTTCAAGGAACAAAAAATTATACTACAAAACAAGTTCAAGAATTATTAGGATTAATGGGTACTTCTTTACGACCCCAACAACCTAGCCTACGAAGAACTCAATCTAATTATGGAGCGGCAGCCAGGTATAGTTATAACTATTTATGATATTTTTTCATAATATATAAGATTTTTATTGCCAGTTAATATCTGTGAATTTCGACTAACTAATATACTTGAATCATTACAACAAGATCCATGGCCTGTGGCAAACGATAAGCGCCCGCAAAGATGTACAGGCGTTGCTATAAGCATCGCTGTAAGTTTAATGGAGGTATGAGCACAATATCTTAAACATATCTCATTTAATGTAGAATGCATTTCCAAATACAGGAGGACGTATTATGTTATTTTCAGGAGGGCCAAGTACACAAGGCCCAGGAATGGTTGTTGGTACAGAATTGCGCGAATCAATTAGATCCCACCATGATATAGAAAGAGATAATATAAAATATTACAAAAAAGCGACTAAAGTAAATAGTCTATTAATTATTAAATTTTTAATATCTTTAGTTCTATGAAAATCTGGCCAAAAAAGCATCAACAAACGGACATATTATAGATATTTTTGCTGGATGTCTTGATCAAATCGGAATGTTAGAAATGAAATCTTTATCAAATTTTACAGGAGGACATATGATTCTATCTGATGCATTTTCTTCATCTATTTTTAAGCAAAGTTTTCAGAGAGTTTTCAATACAGATTCCCAGGGATCTTTACAAATGGCATTTAATGCCACCATGGAAATACTAGTATTGTTTATTAACGTATTTCATTTGTTTCTCATTATTCATAGACTACGAAAGAATTAAAAATATCTGGATTAATTGGTCATGCAGTTTCACTTAATAAAAAATCTCCATCTATCGGAGAAACAGAAATAGGTATTGGAAATACATGTTCCTGGAAAATGTGTGGAATTTTACCCAAATCAGCTTATGCAGCATATTTTGAAATGTCTGATCAAGATAAACAGCAACCTCAAGTGAGTCAAAGAGGACTCATTCAATTTATTACTCATTATCAACATTCATCAGGAACATTTAGACTTCGTGTGACAACAGCTGCTCGCTCTTTTGCAGACAGTAGTAGTCCACTTATACCTCAATCATTTGATCAGGAAACTGCAGCTGTCATCATGGCACGTATAGCAGTATATAAAGCAGAAATAGATGATGGCCCTGATGTCCTTAGATGGACAGATAGGATGCTTATTCGCCTTTGTCAGAAATTTGCAGATTATAGAAAAGATGATCCTTCATCCTTTCGTCTTTCATCAAATTTTAGTCTTTATCCTCAATTTATGTTCCATCTTCGAAGAAGCCAGTTTTTACAAGTATTTAATAATTCTCCGGATGAAACAGCTTTTTATCGTCATGTTTTAAATCATGAGGATGTGAATAATTCATTAATCATGATACAACCTACTTTAATATCGTTTTCTTTTGATCAGGAACCGCAGCCTGTATTACTTGACTCTATTTCTATTAAACCTGACGTTATCTTACTTCTTGATACATATTTTCATGTTTTAATTTGGCACGGAGAAATAATTGCATCATGGAGAAAGACGGGGTACCAAGACAAAGAAGGATATCAAAATTTCAAAGAATTACTAGAGTCTCCTCGTCATGAAATTGCAGTATTATACTAATCTTCTTGGACATTAACTTATTTTACTTAGGATCTTCTAGTCGAAAGATTTCCAATACCAAGATATAGTATATATTCATAGAAATTTCGCATTTTCTAACTTTAAAAGTTGTTTGTGATCAAGGAGGAAGCCAAGCTCGATTTTTATTGTCAAGAATTAATCCATCAGCAACTCATGCAACTAGCAGTTATGGTGCACCATCAGCACAGGCCGTTTTTACAGACGATGTTTCACTTCAAGTATGTTAATAACTTTTTTTTAATTATATTAACATAAACATAGACATTCATGGATCATCTTAAAAAGTTAGTCCATTGATATCGAATTAATATACTAACTAATTTTAGGTTGGCTGTCACCGGTGGTCAATAATTTACTTCTAGCATTAATTTGGCAAATATTATATATAAAAACTTAAGTTTTAAATATCATAAATAATTAAATATATATTTTTAGGTATTTATTGTCTAGAAAAAATAGTTCTATTGGTATATAAGGTTATTTTATAGTTAATTTATAGTTAATATTTAACTAATACTATAAATAGATTACAAAAAATATAACGATGTTTAGTATCTATATGTAATCTAATTATTATTCCTATTATCAATTTTTCAATTATAAAAAATAATTAAATCTCGAATTTAAAACATAATTTTCAAATTTCATGAAACTTAAAGATTTAAAAAATTAAAATTATAAAATTAAAAATTCATAATAATTCTTTTATGTAACTAATATTTCTTAATTTTTTAATAAAATATATTTAACTATATATATATATATATGTAATACTTTAATATTTATAGAAAAAGCAATTTTATAATTATTATTCTAAAATTAATATTAAAAGTATGATAAGATCTGAAATATATAATCAAATTATTACGATATCGCAATATTAATTTCGAAAAAATATAATATAAATATAAACATTAAAAAGTTATCCAGAACTATTAATAATCTAATAAAAAATAATATAACACAAAATATTAGAAAAGTAAAAACATTAAAATAAATGATACAAGATATTGCCAAGCAAATATTGTTTTATACTTGAAATTCTTTTTTCTATTATAATCTAACAGTAAAAAGTTATTAAAATATATATATTTTTAAAACTTAGAATTTTAAGTTCAATGCTATTTTTAATATATTTTCTTTTAACATATTTTCTAAAATACTAATAATATACAAGAAATTAATTTTATAAATTTACTTTTTTATAAATAATAACAATATATCATAATACTATTAATAATAGCTAAAAGATCATAAATTTATTTAGTCTAGCACTAAAGATTATTTTTTATAAAAGTAATATATATATATCTACAAATTCATGATTTCTATTAATATTTCAAATGTAAACTAACAATTCTTAACAATCCAAAAACTCAAAAAAATAATGAAAAAGAAAATAAATTTTAAAAGAAAAAATATCAAATAAAAACAATTGTTTTTTTTTTTGAATATAATTTATAAACTTTCAAAATATTTGATATCTAAAACATTTAAACTTTATAAAAAACTATACAATAAATTAATATTTCAACAAAATTTTAAAAAATTAAAATTAATGATAAAAAATGAACACTTCATATTTAAAGTAAAATATTTTAAAATAAAACATAATTATTAAAAAACATAATTTAATGTAACTCTTGAGGAAAAAAAGATATATTCTACATAACAGTATTTATGAAGAATAGTAGAACAAGAGACTCGTTTTTGCACAGCTATATCCTTCAGCAATCTGGAAAATATATATTCCATAGCCGTACACACATGTGCTAAAAATTAAATCTCAATTCAAATAAAAATTGTCACCAATGAAGAAATATAAAAAATATCATATATTATAAATTTATAGTAATTACACATAAATAAACCTTTATTCAAAAATCATATTAAAGACACTTTGTTCTATTTTCTTTCAATGCCTTAAACGTTCCACGTATGGCATATTTTCTATTTAATGCAAACTTCAAATAATTAAAATAAGCTCTAATACAAATAAAAAAGTTACCTTCGGATCCACATATTTCAAAGACAAAAAACGTCCAGTTTTTGGACGACGAATACCTACATACAATATTAATTCATCTCTACAACTTTCTATCTAAACTAACCATTTCTATGTGCTTTTCTGGTTTGATTATGATTTGTCTAAAAGAAAAACAAATTAAACCCACTAATCCTTAAATACATCAAAACTTACATGATTTTTTGATTTCGCCATACTTTTTATAATATAATATTTTTTCAGACGTTGAATATCGTGGCAACCTCGTATATCAAAAGACAGTCACGATATTATCAATAATTTTTCAAATAATACTCTTTAATTCATTAAAACTCTCATAATTCATTGAGATGTGACGTTTTTCTGAATATTAACTGATAACTTCAATCTCAAAAAAGAAAATCACCTAATCCTAAAAAATGAGTCAACTTCGTCTTTTTAAAGCAACAGATATATTTTCGTTTAATAATATGTATATTTGCTTTATTTTCTCTATAATACAAAGATAATCAACTTAGAAATCTTGATATTTTAACAGAAACAGTAAATATAATGTTATTATGATACTAACATATTGTTAACCAAACATAAGTACAATATTTCCTTTTATCTTTCATATCTAGCAACATGGCCTAACTTATTTCTGGTCCAAGAAACATCATTATTTGAAGAAAAGCCGAAATTGATGGGTTATGGTATGAATGGCATTACATAGAAATATATATAATAAAAACTAAACAGTAATGGGAAAAACAGAAGGTATGAAAAAACAATGGCATGGTCATATTACAGCCCTGTCTGTTGCATCGGAATATCGTCGACTTGGTGTTGCCCGTGATCTTATAAAACTATTTGAAGATATAAGTGAAAATATGTAGACTTAATTGAAAAAAATAATACAGAAAGATAACCTACTTTTAGCTATAATGGATATTTTGTAGATTTGTTTGTACGGCTTAATAATCTTGCTGCAATTAGTATGTATAAATCCTTTGGATATTCTGTTTTTCGCAGGGTGATAAAATACTACAATGGAAGCAAAGGCGATGATGAAGACGCGTTAGGTAGGTGCATACTTTTAAAAATGCTATATTAATATTCTAGATATGCGGAAACCGCTTCGCCGAGATAAATTCAGGGAAAGCATAAGGGAAAATGGAGAAAAAATATTTATATTACCAGAAGATATTTATTTCTAGTTATCAGTTTTGATAACATTAATATAAGAAAATATCTACATATACTGTATTTAATTTATTTCAAACTTGTTTGTAAATTTTCCAATACTTCAATTTGAATTTTTGCCTCAGCAATTTCTTCCTCACTTCCATTTCCAGAGATAACTTTCTGAGCTTTTTGGAGATTTTCATTTACAGCCTAAAAGATATTAATTATTGAATCAAAAACATAGATTATATTTACTTCCAAATTAAAATCATCTAATGGATATGCCTCGATAGCATTAATACATAAATCAGAACCAGGTTGCATAGTAGCAAACCCTCCAGAAACTATAAAAAAATCAATAAGAGAGAACGAAAAAAGAAGAAAATACCAAAAAACTTGTTAGATACACCATTTTCTTCAATAACCTCAACAACACCAGGATGAAGCTGTTCAATCGTAGGAACATGTAACGCAAGAATACCCATACTTCCTGATGTTGCTGGTATATTTACTTGAAGCCTAAAAGTACTGTTATTCTTAATCAAAATTTGTAATTATATTCTTACACATCTTGAGCTTTATAAAGAATATTATAAGGAACTGAAAATGTTAATCGGAGTTTATCTGCTAAAGCTTCCTTGGCATATCTTCTACAAAAAAAACCATAAATATTATTTCTAGGCAAAAGATGTTTTGTTGATATTCGAATTAGATTCATTTGCAATTTTTATAAAATTTAATTTATAAATATCTCAAACAAAACGATATTAAAAAATATAGTATCTATTTAATTACATATTTTAATTATAAAAATATAAAGATACAAATAATAACAGAAAAAGACATGTATCTCTTGTATAAATCTCTGAATATTTAGTTTATTTCAGAAATAATAAATGAGAAGAAAAAATTGATTTTGTTTGCAATTAAATTAGAGTATCCTATAGAGACAAGATACCCTAGAGTGTTAGCAAACATTAAAAGGAAAATATGCAAAAAAATTAAGATATATGATCTAAATATTTAATGATAATATACAAAAAATATTAAAACTCTATTCAAAAGGAACTATGTCATAAATATTAGAGATATTTTTTTTTAAAACAATAATTACTTTGAATATCACCAGAAATAATTTCATCAATAATTTCTTTAGGATTTCTGCCATCTACACGACATCCAATAGTATATGCAGTTCCAAGAATCTCTTTAACTGTACCACTAAGATCCTTAGCTAAACTTTTAAACCGCATTTGACGTGCAATATTAACAATTTCATCTAAAGGTATATTTCCAGAATGCCTTTAAAATAAGATCTTTGTCCTGAAAAAAATAGATAAAAAAGCTTACTTAATATTCTTTTCTTTTTTACGATCCCGTGGAGGTTCTAAAACATAAGAAATGACATAAGAGAAAATATATTACCTTTTAATGCTTTAATAATAAGAGCAGAAGCAGATGGAACAATTTCCACCTGTGCTTGTCGATTTTGAATAGTTAGTTTAACAGTAACTCTTAATCCTTTCTAAATAAAATCAATAATCACAATAAACATAAAAAACATAAGACACATACCCAATCACCAGTTGCTTTAGCAATATCTTCCCCTACTTTTTTCGGAGACTATATTCAAATTAGCCATAATATATCTTTAAAATCATTTATTATACAAGACCGAGAGGCCCAATCTTCGGTGCAAGTGTAGATGATGCTCCTATTTCTCCACCAGCAACTTGAAAGCACTTTAGATTTTCACTATTTCTTTCTAAAATAAAAAATTACCTCTAAGATAGATAACTTTGATTTCATTAGGATCAAACTATATATTAAATGTTAACTCAAAAATCAAAAAAAAAAAACGATAAAATTCAATAGTTTTAAGAGTAATATCAAAAAAAGCCATACCTTTGGTGCCATAAGAAAATCAGTTTAAAAATCAAATGATTTATATCTAACAAATTTAACTATATCAATCGCTGAATATTTCCTTAAGGGACTTGTTAAAACTAACCCTAAAAATAAATCATAAAATTAAAATATTAACATGTTCATTAATATTAACAAAATACTGTATACAATGAACACTACAGAAAGCACATTTCTTAAATAAAAACATAAAAATAATACAAAAAAAATTAATAATTAATTATATTTTTAATACATGAAAGTTGATTAGAACAAATATAACAGAGAAAATAATAATTAAAATCTTAAAAAATTACAAAACGAAACTGTCTATTTTCATTTCCAAAGCTAGATGACACCAAGAAACACATTTTCTTAGTAACATCCAATTATTTTATCCTTATCCTAAATATAATCATGCTCGAAGATATAATTGCATGTTATCAATTTTTCGCTCAATATATATATATATATAAACCAATATCCTATATAAACAACAAATAACGCTATTTAGGCTTTCCCGCTTTTATTTTTCTGTTTTCGTGGAGGTGTCACTGGGCGTCCACTTCCCATACCTCCATACAAATATTTTTGTTTCTTTTCAGCAGGCTTAAGAATCTATATAAAGTCAACACCAAATACTTTATTACTAAAATATTATATACTTGAAAACTACAAAGTAAACTTTCATCCACACTCATCATAGCGCCAGCATTATCAAATTCTCCACAATAATTAGGCGCACTAAACAACGTAACAAGCTGACGTTTAGAAAAGAATTCATAACCATCTTCAACTACTTGATGTGCTCGGCATATGAGATCCATATCATGTTTTTGAAGAAAACGAGATACAACATCAGGTCCAAATGTAAATGAAACACCACGGTCATTTTCACTCCAACCTGTTATATCCTTATCAGGATCAGACCATAAAAGATCACATAAAAGACCTAAAATAAAATCAAAACAACCCATATATAATTTAATAATTACCAGTATCTGGAACATCAGTTGGTCGCATCACTCTTCGAATTTGTTCCATAGAAGTAAGATCAGGAGAAAGACCACCATGCATAGTAAATATTTTTTCATCAATAATAGCAGCAATAGGAAGACAATTGAAACAGTCAGTAAAAGTCTTCCACAATTTTATATTATATCTTCTTTTGCCTACAACATTAATAAATAAAAATAAAGATAATTGAGAAATTATTTACATTCATCATAAAATCCGTAAATACGATTAATACTTGCACATTCATGATTTCCTCTAAGTATAAAAAAGTTCTCCGGATATTTTATTTTATACGCTAATAAAAGACATATAGTTTCTAGAGACTGTTTTCCACGATCTACATAATCTCCAAGGAAAAGATAATTTGCTTCAGGAGGAAATCCTCCATATTCGAAAAGTCTCAAAAGATCATAATATTGACCATGAATATCACCACATATTTTTCTAGAAAGAATAAGCACAAAAACATAAAATATGAGCACAATCTACATAGGAGCCTCAAGTTCTAAAAGGATTGGTTGATTAACAAAAATCTCACGTGCCTTAATACAAAGAAAACGAATTTCGCATTCAGCTAATTGAACCTGTCTACCAGGACGACTTCCACGAACCTCCAAAAGACGTTCTATAACGGAATCAAGATCAATCTCATGTTGATCGGCCATTGAATCACAACACAGTTATTTTTCACTATAGAAAGATAATAAGAAATAGCTCAATAAACCCTATTAACAATCAATCACGTTCCATACACATTTTTTTATATAAAAAAACCAAGCATTCATGATTTCTATTAACTTAAAACCATGATTTCTCTTAAATTCTATTGCATTTAAACATACCTAATTTGCGTTTTTTAAATCAGAATTTTATGAAAAAAAAATCACTATAGAATAAATCCTTATATCCCAACACAATTATAGACAAAAACAACACCTAAATGTAATTATTAGTTTTTATCTTTTTTATTTCTTAAACATTTACCTTCGTTTTTCCCTAAACTTTTGCAAATACTTTTTTAAATACACTTTAGTTTATTTTTTACTTAAAACAATATCTTGGCTCCTACTATTCCCCCAAGGAGTCCTTAATTCTTCCCCTTTTATCTTTTCAGTTCCACCGTAAACTGTAGGTATTATATAATAATGACTTTAAATTTGGTCGAACATATAAAACTCAAAACCCCTTGAGCAACATGAAATAATATATTATAAAAGATAAGTTTATAGATTAAATATGATAAAAGATAGATAAAAAAGAATTCAAATTATGAAATATCACAAAGTGATATGTATTGATAAAAAATTAAAAATAAAAATAATAAAACTTATAATATGCTAATCAACTATATGTACCATATACAATAATAAATGAAAACAAATGGATTTAAATAGAAAAATGAGTATCTACAAGATTGCGTGCATATGACAAATTCCCGCTAGCAACATAAATTAATGAAAGATTATAAACAGCATGACGACACAAATCAAAATAAACATCTTCAGAAGAGTCAGAAGTAATCAAAGAGAGAACACGCTTATAATAAGGGATTGCAAGATGTGTAAGACCTAGAACTCAAAAATTAGATGATAACAATTCCAATAAACAGTATACTAAACAAACCTAACTGATGAAATGCACGTGCAATATTAAATTCAGCTTCTTGATGTTCATAAACACCCATGGGCTTCCTAAGTTCATAGTATCGAAAAAGAAAAGTCATTCCTTGAAGTATTTGATATTGTCGATTATTTGACTGGCGTTGCATAGCTCTATGTAAATATGCCATTCCAATTGATAAAGAGATTAATGGATCTAGTGGGGCTAAAGCATAAGCACGCCCATAATAATCTATAATAACAATAAATAAATAATCTATTAATATTTATTAAAAAACATACTTAAAGCCTGAACATAACTTCTAGAACAAATCATTACGTGACCATAAGAAACAAGAAGCACAACGTTATAGTGCATCGGAATATTACTATCATTTTCATTTTTATTTACTGAAGAAGAGCCCTTATTCTTTTCAGACATTGTAGAATCAATACTTTTTATTTGACGCAAAAGATATTTCTGTAGAGCAGAATTTGCTGAATAATGCAACATTGCTTCACCAGTTGGCATAGCTGCAAAATGCAAACGGTATCCATCTGATCTAAATTTATACAAATTCGAAAAATATCTGCATTCTTCTGCCACAATAGAATATTGCTTAGACCAAAAAGAACATGCTATTTTCAGTGTGAATAAGTTAAAATAAAGACAAAAACATACCAAGTCGAGTAGCATGCATTTTGTTTAAACGCTCATGACTTTGATAAAATACATTAGCAGACATAGCAGCTTTAATTACTTCTAAAGCATCAAGAAAATCGTCATGTTTCGTTAAACATATAGCATACTTAATAATTTAGATTTTTTTCCTGATAATTCAGATATACCTGCATAAAAATATAAAACCAAGTGTCAAAAGTTAAACCTCGAAATTCATTTACATCATTATTTACAGTATTTTCTCGATAAGATTCATCATCACTAAGTTCTCCAAAAATTATAATTTAATATTATTAATTTTAATTGCCTACCTAATGATTCTTGAAGCCTATTAGCCATAACTTTTAGTTTTTGATTTATTTCCATTTTTTGCATTCGACGTTTTGCCACAGAAATAACACCTTTAAATTTCGTTGATTTTTCTGATGGATAGAACCCGCGTACATTGCGAAACTCATCCACCATATCACCAGCAGTATCCAACCATTCATTTACAGCATGAGAATCACCCTGCAACATCTTGTCACGAACTATATTTAATTTTTGCCACTTAAATAATATATGCTCAGTTCTTCGCATTTCAATAGCAATTCTCTCATTTAATGAAGGCTTTAAGGAAATCTTTTTAGATATCCTATCTTTTGGAATTTTGGTATCTATAATAAAGGTAGACCTAGGAGTTATATTCTGAGATTCCTCTTGCACTTGAGCAACAGTAGAATTTTCATTTTGTTGGTAACGAATAACTATAAACAATTAAATAATATATTATTTTTTATATATACCTTTATTCACTACATCAAGAGCTTCCTCTCTACGTCCAGTAATTTGATATATATCTGCTAACTGAACAAGAGATTCTATATGTTTTTCGCTATTAGACGAAATTCCCTTAAAGCATTCCTCTGCAGCCTCTAAATCGTTTATTGCTTTATAACACTTTCCCATGGAAAACCATAACTCTGGTCCATTTACCTAAATCGATCTTAAAAATACAGAAATATGGATCATATAAACCAACTGCATCACATTCAATTAAACGAGAATAAAGACGAAGAGCTTCATGGTAAAGCTTCTTCTCAGTTAATATATTGGCTGCATCAAAAATTAAATCAGTATTTTTTTCAGGATCATTATTGCTATCTAGTACTTCAAAGTGCCGTAACCCTTCACCTATATCACCCATTTGTATTCTACATATTCCCAATTTAACTCTTAATTCCATAGGCATATTGTAAAGTGTTTTATCTTCACTAAAAGAATGTGGAACAGTCTTTCGTCTTTCATCATCATTATCCCATTCCCTGTCATCGGAATAGTTATCCCAAAAATCTTCTAATTTTCTACCACATAACCATCTTGCTATGTATTTTACATTATATATACACTGTTTCCATCGTTTATCAGCTATATAAAGTTCAGACATAATATGCAATTCACTCCAATTAAGACCACATTTATCCTTAAATGGAGCAGGAAAACGCAAATAATATTCTACAGCTTTTTCATAAAGTGCTATTCCTTCAGAAACTTGAGATGTTTGAAAATATAATCTAGCCAATTGACGAATTACGGACATATCATTTGGAACAATACTAAGCAAACTCTTAAAACAATCGATTGCCTTTGACATATAAGAAAAAAAAAGAAAAATTAATATCAAACCTTTTTTGTTCTTCCTTTATCACGTGCCAAAACAGCTCGATCCCATATAGCATCAACATCTCCTGGACGAGCATGAATAGCTCTATTATAACAATAATCTGCTTGGTCCCAAAGCTGAGCATCCTGACTCAATTTTGCACATGTTAACCATAGATCAGCATCTTTAGGTTTAAGATGAGCTGCACTAATCCATGCACCAAGACATTTATCTATATTTCCTCTTTCACGATGAACCTCACCAAGAGTTTGCCATGCAGCAAAAACATTAGAATCAATACGAATAATTTCCTGAAGAGTTTTTAAAGCCTCTGAAAAATCACCTGACGCAAACGCTTGATTCGCATATCCAAGTAAACATTTAACTTCCTCCGAAGGCTCCATATCTGCTATACCCCTACGTCCCTTCAAAATACTTTAAAAATGCACCTCCCAAAATTATACAATAAATAACCTTTGATCTCCCTCTATTTTTTTTAAATCCTGAAGCTATCCTAAGATCCTCTTGAAACTTCGATGCCTCATACATCATATCTTCCTTCAAATTTTTTACCATACCATGCATCCATCCTCTATTATCTCTAGTATTCATATCCCTTAGATCTTCCTTATCATCCATATTTTCATCATCTGACCATAACCCTTTAGCACCAAGATCAATACATGGTTCTTCAAATTCCCTTGAAACTGATTCAACTTCCTCCTGCAATTCAACATCCGGGATCTCATCATCATGTAACATACGCCAATATTTACCATCTTCCAGATCCTGTTTCTTATTCATTTTTCATTAACCCACTTAAATCTTATCAAAATTCTTAAAAAAAAAAACTTTAAAAGCTTAAAAAACTTCAAAAATAGTGAAAACAGTTAAAAATAACATAATTATTTAAGATATTTTCTTCATTTTGTTTTTAACCTTAACACCTTATATTAGGCGGAGGTCAGCTAGAAAGCCATCGTACAACCCCAACCTCCCCCCTTTTAGGAACTTAAAAATAATTTGTAGAATAATAAAGAATAAGAGGAAAAACAAGGCAAATAACAAGATCTGAGTAGAAAATTTTCCTAGGAAGGACTTATTAAAGTAATTTTTTTTTAAAAAAATAAGAAACTAATAAAATTAGTTCTTTAATTTTGAGGCTTCTTAAAAGTTTTTTAAAAGTAAAAAAGATCCAAAGTTAAATAATAAGAAGAATATACCAGAGATTTTGTACGTGTTGAACACGAGTAAGAAGCTAGTATGATGTCGGTTACACCAACATTAGAACATCATGATAAATCATCATTAAAACATTTATCATCGAAAATCCAACGGAATTGTCAAATAAGAACATCATTTGATCTATCGAACTATAGTTCGCCTCTTTCAGGGCGTAATAACCGTCCAACGTCTGAAGTTTTTCTTCGGACGCCGCAAAAGACACAAATGCCGGAGGGTAGAGCATTTTTATTTTTTTTTTAGATTTTTATGATTATGTAGTTGCAGCTTTTGATAAGTGGCTTGAGGATTTACAAAGCTATGAAAATACTCTAGAAGAAATGGCATCAGCGTCATTAGATCAAAATTTTAAAGAAGAATTAGGAGCAATAGAACAATGGTTCCGTGTTCTTTCAGAAGCAGAACGTACAGCAGCGCTGTATGCACTTTTGCATCAAACTACCCAGGTACAAATTCGTTTTTTTATTACTATTTTGCAACAAATGGCTCACAATGATCCAATGAATGCTTTTTTGTCACCAACGAATATTGATAAAGGTATATATTAATGTCAAGTACAAGGCATGCTTTAACTATATAAGACACAATACATAATAGTTTGTCGGGGACGATGAGTCAAATTAATCATGATAGAAAGAATGGTACTATTATGAAACTTCTTTCTCCTTCCGTCAATAATTCATCCTCGCAAATTCAAAATGGATCTTATTTGGATGCAAAAGCAGTTAACACGATGTTTCCAAATGCATCGTCTACTTTGGCTAATCAGAAAACAAGATTAAACACTAATTGTAATACTAGCGTTTTCAGTGACACACATAGTCAAGATACAGCTCCAATATGTAACAACAATAGCCCAATATTGTTAAAACAAGACGTAGCTCCATCGCCTTTATGGTCTCAGCCTTTAAATAAGATTTCTGAAAACACTCCATTAGGGTTTAATCGCCCTAAATCAGCAGATACTGAGAAACATCAAGATACACAACAACTAAATACAATAGCTGCTAATAATTCATCATCTAATTCTAATTATGGAGAATTTTCTCCTTTCAGTCCTGGAGGAAATTGGGCATCTATGGTTAACACACCTTTAGTTCCAATGTTTTCTCAAACACTTTCGCAAAGTAGTGATCTTAAAGCAGCGACTTCTAAATTGTCATCTTTGTCATTAAGCATGCAGAATAATGATGTTGTTGTTCTTGATACAAATGTAAAGAAGTACCATAGAGGAAAAAATACCTTATTATCATCTGCAACTGACAAGAATGGTTTTAATCAGCATCCAACTAATGTTTTGATGTATACGGAACATGGACATTTACATCAAATGCTATCACAACGTAGGGTTTCATCTCCTTTATTATCACGAAAAATATCACCAAAATCCGATTCATCTATTCCTCCCGGATTTTCAGAACCATCTGGATGGCGCATGCCCATATCTTCTCATTCCAATGGATATATTCCACCCTTTGATGTGTCATCACCATTATTGAGGACGGAAGAATATATATCAGATAATTCAGACGCAATCGTAGCAAATAGGAAAGGAAGACGACTAACCTCTAAACCCCCAGAAAACCCTGTTAACGATTTATTATTAAATGATATCCCTGCATGGTTAAGAGGTTTAAGACTCCATAAATACTCCGATAACCTAGGAGATATGGATTGGAAAGAACTTATTGAAATGACAGATGAGCAACTAGAAATGAAAGGAGTTGCAGCTCTTGGTGCACGACGAAAGCTCCTTAAAAGTTTTGATCAGGTAAATAAGACTTTTATTATTTAATTACTAATCTTTTATATGTAGATAAAAGAAGCACGAAATTTGGGTAAATTTTAATTTCTTTTACATCATAAGATTGTATTATTGATGTTTTATTATTATTGTATACCATTCCATGCTAAATATTTAAAAAATAACTAAAAGTCGTAATACAAAATGAACTATTATTTTAATCGTCATTTTAAATACTTTAACAATTTATTAAAATACATCCACAAAATGCAATTTAAGTTTATACATTAACATAAATGACCCAATAATACATTATTATATAACATTCCCAAAATGTAATATTCTCAACAAAAATCTCATACATAAATCTATCTTATCTTCGTAAAAGGATCTAACAATGAATCGCGATCTGAATCATTTTTATTTTTAGAAAAAACATTCCAGAATCGCAAAGTTTCATCACCAGCACCTGTAACTATAGTTTGACCATCAGGCGACATCGCTAAATATAAAACTCGATATGTATGTCCAGTCAAAGCAGCGACTTGAGACATAGATGGATATTTCCATACTATTACTTGATTTTCTGAATATCCATGAGTAGAAACAATCTCATTTGAGTTTTTAGACCAAGCAAGATTACATACTTGAGATCCCGTATCTATTTCTGAAATTTGCTGTCCATTAAGGGTATTCCAGAATTTTATAGTTCTATCAGCAGTGCCACCACCACTAGCAAGAATACCGTGTTGGTGAGGATTCCATGCAATAGCTTTAACAGCAGCAGTATGCTCTGAAAATTTATATAAAGGTGTTTCATTCAAACGATCCCATACAATTAACTTGTTATCATTCCCACCGGAAGCAAGCTGTCCATCTTCACAATTCCACTTCAGCCCACATACTTCTTGTTTATGTGCACTGAGTTGCTTAATATGATGCTCAGGAACCCTTACATCCCGATGAAAAATTTGATGATCTCTTCCTCCTGAAGTAAGAATATGCTCATTCCAAGCAAGTGATCCTAAATTTCATTACGAAAATATACATAAAAAAGACGAATAAAATATACCAACTCTAGAAGTATGACCTAGCATTGTTCTTGTGCGCTTACATTGTTCAGCATCCCATATGTGTACTAATCCCTTATTAGTCCCAAGAGCAATATGAGAACCCTAAAAACATATGAATATTTCTTTTTTTTTTTTTTAAAGATTACTCTTTGAATCCAACAAACACTAGTAACAGAATCATTTGGACCTAGATCACATAACTTTGTAACCTTTCCAGAATGAGCACTCCACAAATAAACACATGTCCCAAGTCCCACGCCTAAAATATTATTGCAACCCCAATCGACCAAATTCAAATAAAAATCATCATGTAATTCAGGTGCATCTAAAACTTTAAATGGAACCTTTGGAATAGCACGAGGCTGCTTCCTAGGAGAAAGAAGCAATCTTTGAGAATCAAACCGAACAGGAGATAATGAATATATTTCACGAGTTGGATCATCAATACAATTTCTTCCTCCGCTACCTGAAGTCCGAGTTCCACTCGTAGGCGTTCTATTTTGCGGTGATATATATGAAAATAAATTCCTTGGAGGCGTAGAAGGCGTCACAGGTCGGTTAACCGGTGTTTTCTGAGGAGGTGGAGTTCGAGAACCTACATATAAATCGGATGATGGTAAATTAGAAAACGAATTTAAAATTGTTGATCCAAAAAGTTCAAAACGAAGTAAATGTAAAAATATCTTATTAGATTCTTCCACTACTCAAATATAAGCTTCCTCTATCATATTCATATCATAAAACCAACATCTTTGAGCATCCACTTCATTTCCTGTTTTACGTTTAGCTTTCGATGTTTCTACATTATTATCTGCCAAATTAAAACTTGCTTGTAAATCAATCCCATCTCTACTAGGAATAAAACTAAATTATATAAGTTCTCCCTTTTTCCCTTAAAATCCTTTACTAACCGATCTCCATATCCAACTTTTGCTCTACGTCGACTTGGAGACCCTCCTAAACCCTCCTGTCCTTCATTTAACCGATCCCTCTCTGATGCACTTCTAAGACGCTTATCAAACTCCACCTCAAACATATATTTATATAATATTAATGTCTCCTAAAAAGAGACTGACTATAATATAACTTTACTGGCAACTACACTGACAAATCACTCTATTATTACTTCTTTCCTACTTATTTCCTGGGTATTCTTTGTATATTCTCCTATTATTAACCTTTCTTCCCTATATTTTAAGCTCAAATAGATGCTTTACCATTAAGCTTGCTCTTTATATGATATGCTTTTTTTGATTAAAATGACCGAAACTTCTGAATCCATAAATATCGACAAAGAAAATAAATAATAAGAGAGGAAGTGAAAGATTAAAAAGATATAAGGAAAGAAGAGAGATTAATAAGATTTAAGGAAATGAATGGGTAATAAATAGATAAGAGTAATTTTTTATTTAAAAAAAAATATCAAAAATATTTATATAGTATGAAAAATATCCAAAAAAAAAAGAAATTTTAATAAAAAAAAAGTTTGTAAATAAGTATTTTAGATTAAGATGAATTGGACTTGGATAAGAATGTAAAAAGTCTAAATGTATATCTTTAGTAAAGAAACCCTGAAGTTATATGAACAAGACCTAAACAAACAAGGGTTCAGCCCTAAGAGCACAAGGGCATAGCCCTAAGCGCGTAAGGGTATAGCCCTAAGAGGACAAGGGTTTAGCCCTATCCATGTAGGTATAAACCCTAACACAACGTAGGTACAAAGACCTAATATAGGACTAAACCCTAGTACAGAATAGGGCCAAACCCTACACAGGGCCAAGACCTAACACGCGATAGGATTAAACCCTATTATAGGACTAAACCCTAATTCAATCTAGGACTAAACCCTAGCATAGAACAGGGCAAAAACCTAACATAGGACTAAGACCTAATACAACGTAGGATTAAACCCTACAACAACATAGGATTAAGCCCTAACGTAGGACTAAACCCTACTACAACGCAGGACTAAACCCTAGTCCAGGACTAAGACCTAATAAAAAGCAAACTTTAGGGTATAAAACAAGATTAGGGCAAACATAGGGTTAGGACAAAATTAGGGCTTTAACTATTAGCTCATCATATTAGGGTTATATCAACATAACTTAGGGTTTGTTATCAAGAAAGGAATGTTAGGGTTTCAAAAAAGATAAAAGGAGAAACGCGTACATCAAAAAAACAGATTAAAAGAAAAATCTTCAAGTTTGGATTAAGAAAAATATGGCGCCTAAAGTTGCAGAGAAGAAGGTGGCATCTAAAATGCCAGCAGGAAAATCACCTTTGGATAGAAAAGAAGCAGGAAAAAGATCATCGGACAGGAAGAGAAAAATGAGATCACGTAAGGAAACGTATTCATCATATATTTACAAAGGTGAGTTGTATATTTTGTAAAAAAACGGGAGAATTTACGCGATTTAGTGCTTAAACAAGTTCATCCTGATACGGGTATATCAAATAGAGCAATGTCAATTCTTAATAGCTTTGTAAATGGTGATTTTGAAGGAGTTTTGTTAGTATTTCTGACTTTTTAGATATTTTTGAACGTATTGCTTTTGAGGCATCTAAACTTGCTACTTACAATAAAAAATCTACTATTTCTTCACGTGAAATTCAGACATCCGTTCGTTTGATACTTCCGGGTGAACTTGCGAAACATGCTGTATCTGAAGGAACAAAGGCTGTAACAAGTAATTGGATATGTTTTGTTTTTATATATTAAATTTTATTAGAATATTCATCATCTAGCAAGTAGAAATAAGAAGATTAGTTTGCAGCGTATGCCGCAGTTCATGTGCTTTAAAACTGTAATTGTTTATTTAGCTTTTGTTATGAATTACATATATTGCAATTGAGTACGTATTATAAACTTTAAGTGTGTCTATCATTTCAATGTAATATGTATAATGCCAAAAAAATTAAATTACAAAGAGTTTATTCAAGATATATGGGGACGCCATATATAACGGGTGCAGCTCCATTTAAATATTTTAATACACATTGATCACGTGAAAAAGTAATTGCATCAACAAGTGAATTTCCTATTTTTGGAGCAGTATGATCTTGACAATTCTTTAAATCATTAGAAATTAATCCCCAGTGTTTTAAAACACTAGTACTAAATCGATCGATATCTTTATCGGTAACATCCCATAAATTTGCAACCAGTGCGGGACAACCAGCTAAAAGATAGCTAATAGCCATGCCTATAGGCTCGAAATCACCCATATCTTTAAGTAGCCCGCTACTACAGCCCATTAAAAAAGAAACAGCACATTTAGATAGTCTTTTGATTGTATTTTTTCGAATATATTGTTCACCTCCTCCATGTCCAAAATATAAGAAAATTTCAAAAGAAGTTAAAAAAGATTGTAGTTCTGGTTCATCAGGTTCTTTTCCTACAATTCCTTCCCAACCTTCAAGATTTTTAAGTAAAATTTCAAAGTTATTTTGCGTATTAATCAAGTCAGAAGAAGGATTAAGGACATAGCATCCATTATTCCGACTAACTTTTTGATATGCATCAAATTTAGCTGAATTTATTCTATCGTAAATGCAATATAAAGAAGGGACTCGTGATATAGAAAGTTTTCGAAGACAAGGTAAAGATTCCCAGGGAAAAGACTGAATTGATTTATCTAAAACCAAAATCAAATGCTGTTGTTCTTTCTCTAATAAAACTGTAGACTCCTTATTATAATTACTAATAGCTTCTTGAAAATCGACAACCATCTAATAAAAATTAAGTAATTTTAAATTATATGTGTTTTTAAGACCTGATCAATATCAATTTCATCATAAGCAACAGTTTCACCATGAAACTGAAAAATGTCTAATATAAAATATATAAGATCCTCCAAATATTCATCGATCTTTGAATCATTAAGATCTAACTTAACAAATAATTCAAGAAGTCTTGGTTCTATCTCAAAAGTAACTACATTTTTATTCTTTCGAACAATCTTGCGAGAAAACACATGTTTTGCAATAATTTTATTTACAGAAATCTTAAATTTCGAAAAACTTTCCTGATTAATATTTGATTGAAAAAATATACCCTGCAAATTAAAATTATAAATTAAATTAATGCTAATGTAAAATACCTTGAATCCTCCAAGCCAACAATGCTCAACGTTTATAAGCAATTGCTTTAATTTTGCATCAAGCTCTTGCCGTTCCTTCCACCACACAACTTTATGAGCACTAGTATTAATGTTTTTTGCGATTTGTGCAGTTTCATTACTCCGAAAAATAATTTCATTTAATTCATTAAAAACATTATCATATGTTAATGTATCTTGATCAGCATCTCGAGAATTACTACGATTAAGAGGTAAACGTAAGACTAACGGACTCAATTGTCTCTGTAATCTAGTAATATATAAGTCATTTTTAGATTCTCCTACTCCTATAGTAAGAATTGTCCACGACTGAGGGATTTTATCTATAAATTGATGCTGGAATTGTGATATATCACAAAAAAATAATTCAGAAAATAATTCAGATGAAATAATTTTATGGTCCAAACTAATATTATCCTGGACTTCTTCTGAAACTAAAGGCCACTGAACATCATGGTTTTCATTATTTTCTAACTTAGTGTTTTTTCGAAGAAATGCACGCTCTCTTTGAAAAGATATCATTTTAGAAATTTCTAAAAATATTAAAGATATTAAATAGAATAAAAATATTACCAAGAAAATATGATGGAACAATAGATCTTATTTGATTATTATCGCCCGGGATATAAAGAGCAGATTGTAAGATTGTTGCTGATGCCATCATTTGTGCCAATTGTCTAACTAATGTACTTTGTCCATAATTCAGAGCTTCGTTAAAAATTTCAATAATATTCTTTTTAGTTTCTTCCAAAAGACTTAGAATTCTCCCCCTTGACCCATTTAAACCCGATTTTGATACATCTAATCTTGTCTTAACTTTATTTGTAGCAGATTTATCAGAAACTCGATGCATGTATATATTTGGTACAGAAATCACTAAAAAATATTTAATAAAAATATTATTTAAATTTTTTCAGACCAGAATCTTGAAGAACACCATAAATAGGATCATTTTGAAGAAGAACTTCTGCTTCCAAAAAACAAACTTTTGATTGATAAAGCCTTTGTATAATCTTTTTTGAAAATTAGATAAATAAATAAATAAATAAACATTACTAAATCATCCATATCAGATTCTACAAAAACTGATTCTTTCAAAAATTTTTTTCCATCTGTAATTTTTCCTTGTAATGCAAAATTATACCCTTTATTAAATAAACATAAATTTTAATCCATTAAAAATATACCCTTAGAAGTCATTATTTTTCCCTTAAGACGTGACAATACTATGCATTCACATTGTGTAGAGACTAACTCAAATTTCAAAAAAAAAAACAATTAACTAATAACTTACGTTTATTAAATGACGGTTTCTTGATATCTACTAAATTCGATGGTGATGATAATGTCATTGTTTCAATTCTTATAAAAATAAGTCTAAAAACATTTAAATTGGATTAATACCCTATGACAACATTTTCCATTGCAATTTCATCCAATTTTATTATGAATTCTGGACTCATAAGCTCTTTTAATAGCTTCTCAGCTAAAAGATATGACTCGAGTTCTAAACACCAAAGCTTTTGACGGCTCTGAAGACTTGCTTGTGCAAATAAAAGTGATACAGACTCTTTAATATTTTCAATTTGAGAAAAAAAATATTTTGCTTTATAAAAATTCTCTTGTCCCTTTTCAAATTTTCCAATTTTTACATATAAATTGCCTAACATAACCAGAATCGTTGCAGTTGCTAAATATGAATTAATATTTTCAGCAACCTCTAAAGCTTGAGAATAGAAATATTCAGAATCAAGCACAGATCCTTGAATTTCATAAAGTTTTGCTAACAACAATAAACAGGAAATAAAATTCTTATAATAAAGTCAATCAAAATCTCATAATAATAATAAAACATTACATTTAATATTTTCCAATGAGATCTTCCGAGTTCAAAGAAAGCAGGTTTTTTGCAATTATCATTACAAGTTGAAACTGTATTCTCCTTATTTAACAAAGATATATCTTTATTAAAATACTTAACAGCGTTTTTTATAATACGCTTATAAAGACGATAAGAGTTTTCTACGTAATGGAAAGCATCAAAAATTGCCCCCTAAAAACAAATAAATAATAGAAAATTGTATAAAACTATATACTTTTTCCAACATAATTAAAGCATAGACAAAAGAACCGCTTGCTACTAAACTATACCACTCAATTCTCTGATCTAAAGATACTTGTATTCCTGTATTCCATATATGAAAATTTCCATTTACTATCTTAGCAACTTTTATAAAAGAATTCCAACTATAACAATAAATAAATGAATAAATAAATATCCTTTTAAAATACCTTGATGAAGTGCAACCAACAGTAGACAAATATTCAATATAGGCAATTTCAAACTCTACTAAACTTTTGATATCAAGAGTCATTTTTTGATTATAATTTTGAGCAGTAGCAAATATCATTCCTGCTTTACCTGTATAACCAAGATAAAGATATTGCAGACCTAACATAGCGTATATTTTAGTCAATTCTAAATATATTTAGAAACGAAGATAATAAAACTAAAACAAACCTCCTGGACCCCTCAATTCAGGACATAATAAACACAATCTTAACCTCAACTTCAAAACAGCCAATCTATTCAATGGAAGTCCTTTAACAAGGAAAAAATCGGTTAACATTTCTAAATACATTATTCAAAAAATACTTTCATTTTTTTTAAATATACCAAAGTGACAAAGAAGATTAAGTGGATTATCTACGTATGTTCCTAATGTTTTTTGAGTCTTTGAATGCTCAATATCATCAAATAGCATCTTCCAAATTTTAAATGCAGCTTTCATATCATCCTGCCATTGTTTTTGATTCAAAAACGATTTTAAAGCCAAAAAAGATCGAGAGAGTGCTATGTAATTATATCTAAATGATTCAAAGCCAATATCTTCTAAAAGGTTCTAAAAAAGTTACATAAATTAATTTTAAATAAACATTATACATTATCCATCAAATCAGAAATGCTCTTCCTAAAAAGTTCTTCATAAGTATCATTCATGTCACTATTAATATCTTCCAAACATTGATATATTTGCAATAGTACTCTAACTCAAGTTATCACAAAATAAATACAAAAAAAGCATAAAGTACCTCATTCTACGAATAGGGAAATTTTCATTATAAATATCCATAAGATCATTTTGAAGAATATATAGCTGCTTAGAAATATCATATTTATATTGAAGTCCAAAAACAACTTGAAGCTGCCATTCTAAAAGCGGACCTCTTTCACAAATATTTAGATGCTTCAATAAGCATCTTTCAGACCAACATTCACCTACTATGGCATTCTGAACAATAGAAGTTATAATTCTTGCTACATGTCGATGTTCTTTAAAAACGTCGGACAACATTGCACAATTACACTTAGAAGCTATTTGTGAAATAATACCACTTTTGAAAAGGATATCCATAGCTTTAAGACAATAATTTACGGAATTCTAATTTAATTAATAAAACTTTCTTTTCTTTTTAACATTACTACCTCATAATCTTTAATTGATGAATAACATTTTATTAATAATTCATAACGACCAATATAGTGATCCATATCTAAATTAGAAAAATTAATACTTTCAAGAGCCAAAATGCTACGCTGAACAGGATCAATAGCATTGTCTCCATTCTGATGTAATATTATCCCAAAATTCCAAAAAACATTTGATATAGATATTATAGCCGA